GATATGGTTACCCCAGACCAAATTCACGACGGCATTCTCTTCCCGGAACAAGTTCCCTCAACTCAAGGAAATTGCCGAAGATCAGATCGAGAAAGTTCACCTCTCCTTCCTAAAGTGGACTATAAGCGTCGGCAAAAGAACCTCCAATGCAGGAGTGTGGGGCGATACGGGTCGATACCCTCTTGCTATTGAGGCCAGTCCCCAAGTATTTAACTATGTTCGAAGACTAGAAAGCATGGAAACTTCCGGATCGGACGCCCTTGTTCGACATGCTTTCACAGAACAAAAGAAAACTGGGCCTATCATGGTACTCCGGCATTACGTCGATGAATCAATTTCTGGCAGAAACGAACGAAAGGCAACTATCACCCATTCAGAAACGAGATGTTCTCCGTTCTTGCTTTAGAACGCAATGGGATGAAGAGAGACAGCTCAACAGAAAACTTGGATTTTACAATTCGATTAAATCAAGTTTTGGTTGTGAAAAATACCTCTCTCTCATCTTCCATAGGATACAAGGATACAAGGATACAAGGATACAAGGATACAAAAGTGATAATTATTTTATTGAATTCACAATAGTTATAATTCTGAAATAATTTAAGGTTACACAATTCTAGTTATTTACAAATGTGTAGGGACAAAATAGAAATGTTTTATAATACTATTTTTGAGGTCCTATAGCATTATGCATTGGCCAGTATTTGAGTGGAAATCTGGGCTCTTATAGTAGGCTGTAAAATTTTCGTTCACAGAGAGAATTGAATGTATTGCTCTTGCTGTGGCAGTAAATTTTGTAGGGTCTAGTGTTTTATCGGATAGCAAACCGGCTAGGTCAGTAATATTTTTGGGATGGAAGTTAAATTTTTCTCTAACTGAGGAGTAGAGTAAACAGTCAGTTAGAACATGAATTTCGTCCTCAATAGGCTTAAGCCCCTTGCTGAAAAAGCAAAAGGTGCACCATCGATGTTCTCTTGGTACTAGGGGGGTTTCGTAACGGCCCCTCTCAATGTAAGGATTGTGGCAGCTAATACGAAACCTTGTTAAGCTTTTCCGAGCATCGGGGATCTTAACCACTCCTAAGTATGTTTCTGGTTCAAAATCATGTTTAATTTGATTGTAGAATTCTAATTTAGGTGAGGATGCCTTGGCAGATTTCCAGGTATCCACAAATTCTTCCCTCATGTTGTGACTGATTTGGGTAGAGAGCTTGGATTTTGAAGAGGATGAGTGGGGGAAGTTATATTTGGTGAGAAGATTAGAGATGTTGGTGTACCAAGGAAGGCCCAGCATAATCTGCTCGTGAAATGCAGCGGAGAGAAGTTCATTTTCAGTGCTTTCAAGACGACTATAGAGATCTATTGCAAGTTTGCAGGCTTCAAAGAAGAGGGGGTGGCGCCCACTTTCACCCCAGCAGCCTATATTTGATGCTTTTGAATGGACAGACAAGGACCACTTGATAAACTTAAGGTGGAATCTTTCATAGTGGTCTTGTGAGATGTACCTGAGAGTATGCTGGGGGTTGGCTTTGCTATCTATAACCAGTCAAAAAGACTAGCCCAAATAAGGACTAGCTCTCACCGCCTAAATATTGAAACGGGACGCCATGGACAAGTCAGAAGAAACAACATCCTAAATCGTATCTGTCCTACATGTTCCACTAAGGACAAGAACACTCTGGAGTACATGGCAGAGTTACCCTTCTTTGATCCCATAATTGAAGATGAGGCTCATGTGCTTAGAACCTGCCCCCTCTACCAAGACAACAGGGACCGCCTTAGCCCTGAAGCTAAAACCAACCTCTTCGAGGGAATGGATCTCATATTCACTCAACCAAAGCTTTTAAAAGAGATTGCTAAATTCTTAGTTAACATTAACGGGTGATACTCGTAAAATATCTGTTCCATATATTGGAACAGGACCGTCGACGAGTCCAACTCGGCGCGCGTCCTGGTAGGTTGTAAACCTACAAAGTTAACATAGATGCACTTCGTTTCCCGAGAGACTTAGCTTAAATTATGATATTTGTTTCTTCACGGTTTTCGTATCTGATTTCTAGGTTATGATTTCATTCTTGTATTGTCAAGCCAGGAGTGTTAGGGCTTCTCTTGACCAATTAACGTTTAATCCGTTTAATCCGTTTAATCCATCTTGTACATTGAAGGTAAGACTTATAATCGTTGGAAATTGGATACAAGCGTATATGTATGTACGAAGATAAATCTAATAGCACCCCTTCGAACTAGTCTCCGCGTTAGCTGATCGAACAAATACAATATTAAGAAAAATAAAAATTACTCAAACAATATACACAAAGCGCCAAAAAAGCGCCATAAAGTGTCAGAAAAGCGTCAAAAAGCGCTAAAAAAGCGCCAAAAAGCGTCAAAAAAAGCTCAAAAAGCGCCCAAAAAGCGTCTTTAAAAGGTGAACGCTGAACGCGCGCGGCATCTTATCGGCAGCTGCCTAACTTCACATAGCCATGTGTATACGCGTACTGCGTGACGCACTTGTTTCACAAGTTGAATATATTTTTGCCGCCTACACTGCCGTTTTCTCAGAAAAGGCAGTAAGTCCAATTTTTCGAAATATGACAATATTGGTATCAAAATTTTCAGTAGAAAATTCTCTACAACATGAGCTATATATTAATGTATAGAAACATTGTTGTGTGCAATTTCTAAGGAAGTAAGTCCCAGTTGAGAAACATTATGTTCGGTTTTGGCCAATTATTTTCTGAGAGAAGGACGTAAGTCCGGACTTACTGCCTTTTCTGAGAAAATCTTGAAAATCTTCTGAGATAAGGAAGTAATTCCGTGGACTTACTGCCTTTTCTGAGATAAACTATCTGTGATAGGAAGAAGTAACTGGACTTACTTCCTATAAAAGCATGCTAAAAGCGGAATTTTAGAAAGCGATTTCCCAAAAAGAACATAACTTTACTGCCGATTGATATTTTCGCTTGAAATTTTCAGAATCGATGTATAATTACATTTCAACTTTACTTAAGTGATCAAAATTTTCATTTAGGCCTCAACAAAAATTTGGTGGCCGATTTTCAAAAACGCCAGATGTATTTTATTCGCAAAACATAAACATTGGAGCAGTTATTGAGCTGTTATAATCGCAGAGAATGTTTAGTTTAGGTATATCTTTTAGATCAAGTTCATTTTCATCAAAATATCGATAAGATATCATTGAATGCACTGAAATCTTTCAAAATTGGCGAGTTTGCCTAAATAAGGGCATACTATTATTCAAAAACATTTATTATATATGATATGGAGCAATTTAGATTTACCTAACTGTTTATATTTTAAAATATAATCCAAAATACATAGATCCAAACCTAAAAAATTTAGTAAAAAGCTTGGACTTACTTCCTTCTCAGAAAAATATTGAACAGAGATTTTTCTCAGAAAAGGAAGTAAGTCCAAGTTTTCTCAGAAAAGGCAGTAAGTCCATCCAGTATGAAAAATAAGCTCGATTATTTGGCATAAAAATGGTTATATCTAAGCTTATGGACGGCTCAAAGCTTTAATTTTTTTGACAAATTAAAATTTGACTAATTATTGATAACTCAACGTGTTTACTTTTGATCTTACGCAAAAAGTAAGCGGAGAAAAAACCATAAACGCAAAAGTCGCAATATCTCGAAATGGCAAATATGGACTTACTGCCTTTTCTGAGAAAACGGCAGTACGGTGGTCGCGCGCTACTGCAAGCGAGAGGGCTTTGGTTAGAGCAACTGCCTAACTTGTAGCCGCTATGCGCTGCGCTTACAACAAAGCTGCCGCGCGCGCCAAGTCCATTCTCATTGACAATTAAACGTGGTCAAAGATATTTATATATAATTCCTATATTAAATCAATGCAATAATTATGTAGATATGAGTATTCAACACTACTCGACAACGAATATTTGTAGAAGCTTGGGGTCCTATGTTACCTGGGGACCTCAGGCTATTATACCATGTTCATTAACGTGCCGAATAGAGATTAGGTTGTAGCGCGATGCACTACTGGATCGCGCCGCGCATCAAATAATTCTTCTCGCAAGATCGGCAAAATGCACCACTGTGCCTCACCGAGCTGCGAAGGATTGACATCGTGAATCAAAGATTAGGCGGAATGACAGGCTGAGCGCGGCCCAGTAAGGTCCCATGTAAATTTAAGCTCGGGGTCTTATGTAAATTTATGAATAGAGATAATATTTTAAAACAATATTAATCCGATGAGCGCCGCGCAATGACAATGACTTTTTATTGTACTTAAATAGAATCGAGCGCTATCAAATGTTTTCCTGCGATGCCGAAAGTATAAGTGTCTTACTATATGATGCCTTAAACCCTCTTGAGGTTGGACTAACCGTATACATTTGGGCTTTATTTTAAAGAATCTTTTTTATTTCGGTTAACAAAGTCTGATGAAATAAAAATGTAAAACCATTGTTTTACTACTAATTCATAATAACAGCCACATGTCCTTACATATTATAGTGGCAGTGAAACAAAACTAGTCGTGTATCATGTTTCGACCAATCTTTCAATTAATGAGCAAAAGGTAATGGATATAGTTTTGTCGTGTACTTACTATTTGTCTTATTTTTTTTTACTTTGACCATTTAAATTGAAAGATTCCGTAAAGTAATCGTTTAGGAAGCAAATTCTGCTGGTTGTTCTTACTGAAACCTTAGTAGATGCTTTGATGTGTCTATAATTACGTCCATTAGTTTGGTAAGCCTTCTCATTCGCAAATGATCACTGGTATCACTACTACATAATTATTCCTACTACATAATCAATAATACATAGTTGCTTTAATAGTGTGGGCAGAGTTTGATATTTTTCATGATTCATAATAAATTGAGTTTTTGCGATTCAGATCCATTACTACTTATGCTCTACTTATTTGGTGTTTGTTTGTGTTCTTCACACTACCCTATTGTATAGTTGAACTTAGAAAGATCATATTTATCCAATGGTCTCCTGCTTTCTAAACTAATTACAACACTACAAATCTATTACATTTATTGAGTTCAGGGATGAATGGTAATGACAGGCAAACGGGGCACATTGATAGTGTCCCAGCCAGTTCTGAAAATGATAAGACGAACGACATGAGCGCAGACAAGTGTCACGGATGTGGAGTTGAGGAGAGTGAGACGATGAGAGGAAAGGGAGTAGATGTGTGGATAGGCTGTTCATCATGTGAAATGTGGTGGCACGTGAGTTGCGCTGGGATGCAAGGACTAACAACAAAGACAGTCAAGGAACTGACCCAGTGGAATTGTCACTTTTGTTTCGAGGTGCCAGTGAGACTGAAGGAGACTCAAGTGTCTATGGAAGTTGGTCAAACAGTTGCACGAGAGATCCAGATGGGTCTAGCTTCTGTGACAGAGGCAGTGAGTAGTTGTGTCCAGAAGTCATTGCAGGACTCCCTTGTTGGTACGCTGGTTGGTGCAGCTAATGCAGAGATTACGAGGAGTTGGGCTAGAATAGCCAGTGGAGATCAAACCAAGTTGATAACTGAGGTAGTCCAGGTAGCATCAGGCCCTGCTTTGTCAACAATCACTCAACAGATTGATGCAAACATGCAGCAACGTTTGAAGAGAGTCAAACACATAGTTGTGTCTAATCTGCCGGATTCAGGAAAGGAAACAGAGAGCCAGGCTGAGCTGAAGGACATCATTTGCCAGCATGCAACTGACCTTACAACAAGTGATATTCAGTCGGCAAAAAGAGTTGGAGATTTTTCACGTATTAATCGTAACAAGTTCAGAGGCAGGATGGTTATAGCTGTTCTAAAGAGTGAAGAGAGAGCAAGCTATATGCACAATAATGGACGTGGCTTTGTATACAGAGGTAGCAAGCAAGGAGATGACGTGTGGATAAACCCTGACATGATCAAAGCAGACAGAGATGTTCAATGGAATACTCGAGAGAAGAGAAAGGCCGAGGCTGATCTCAAGAAGAAGGGAAAGCCAGTAGCTGCGCCTAAACCAGTGATAAAGAATGAACTCAAAACTGATGTGGCTCCTGTAACAAATGAAGAGCATGTGGATAATAAAGAAGATGTTGTCCAGAATGCTGTGAAGTCAAAAAAACGAGTAGCGAGTTGCGTGAAGGAATCACAGGGTATCAAGATGCTGTACACTAATGCTAATTCCCTGTACAATAAGATGACGGAACTCATGGTTTTGTCAGAGACTCACGATGTTCAGATCATTTGTGTGACAGAGTCCTGGCTAAATTCAGATATTGTTGACGCTGAAGTGTCTATTCCTAATTTCAACCTCTTTCGTGCAGACAGACCTAATGATACACGTTTTGGGGGATCTGCTATCTTTGTCCACAAAGCATTGAGGGTAGAACGATTGGATTGGTTTACTGGTCTTGAATCACTTGCAGTAAATATTGTTATCGACTCTGTTAGGTTCAATGTTGTTTGTCTGTATCGGTCTACTTCACTTGTTGATATGAAGGACAATGCTGGCCTGTTAGGTGCTCTTGAACGTTTACCAGTTAATGCGGATGAAGAGTTGGTGATAGTTGGTGATGTGAACCTACCTCATGTTAACTGGGACAAAAGTATAGTCGAGCGCCCACCAAACTCATGTGACAGAAGGTTGCTGATGGAATCAGAATTCTTGAATGTCTTTACCAGGAAAGGTTTGAAGTGGTATGTCACTGGGTCTTCAACACGCGTCAGGAAGGTTGGTGATACTACTCAATGCTCCTTGCTTGATCAGGTCTTCTGCAATAATGATTGTTTTGTAAACAATGTTGATATCCTTGCTCCTCTGGGTAAAAGCGATCATGTATCACTACTGGTTGAGCTGAAAGTTAAAAACAATGTCGAGTTCCTTACATCTAAGAAGAAAAGCTGGTATAAGGTGGATCAGGACTTCGTTAACACACAGTCATCAGACATCAGCTGGGGGTACTCAAGAGAAGATCTTCAGGTCGAAGAGATGTGGGAAGAATTACACCAAAAACTTAGTGTCATTTCAGATCGTGTCCCAACCACCCACCTTAAAACAACTAAAGGTGGGGAGATCTTACAGAGGTTACCCTGGGATTGCTCTAGTCTGGTTAGGAAAAGAAAGTGCAAGGACCTGGCATGGAAGGATTTTGACGAGAATCCTACGATGGTGATGTTTAACACAGCCGAGTACGAGCAGCGGATGTACCAGAACGCTGAGATTAAGGCAAAGATTAAATATGAGAATAAAGTGACTAAATTGTTTAAGTTAAATTGTAAACCTCTTTTTAATTACCTTAAATCTAAAAGTGTTTTAAGAAAATCTGTAGAAAGACTCAAAACAGATGATGGTTCTGAGACCAAGTCTCCCTCTGAGACTGCAGAAGTGTTAGCTGATTTTTTCCAGTCAGTTTTCAAACCTGAACCTTCTGGCCCTCTGCCTCAAGATTGTTACACAGAATGTAATAATGATTACTTCTGGAGTAAATTTATGGTGCACCCTGAAAGTGTTGCCAAGATTTTGGGATCACTAGATATTAGTAAAGCTATGGGTCCTGATGGTGTTCATCCTAGACTCCTGAGGTATTTAAGTGAGAACAGTTCCTTTGTGGATGCGGTTGTGTTGCTGTTTAGTGCCTGTGCTTCTGAGCAGTATATCCCTGAGGTATGGAAAACTGCCACTGTTGTGGCCTTGCACAAGAAGGGGTCAGTACATAGTCCTAATAATTACAGGCCTGTGTCACTGACTTGTATACTATGCAAAGCCTATGAGAAGCTTCTTAGGGAGTATATTCTCGACGGTGTTGAACAGGTGCTTAGTAGCACACAGCACGGCTTCATGAAGGGTCGGTCATGCTTATCTAACCTATTGGAGTCTATTGACGCTGTCAATGACTTGCTGGCTGAAGGTGGCTGTGCTGATATATTATACTTAAATGATTTCTCTAAGGCCTTTGATAGCGTACCACACCACCGTTTATTAGTTAAATTAAGAAATGTTGGTGTTCCTGAGGAGATTATTGGTATTTTAGAAAACTTTTTAGTAGGGAGGTCTATGAAAGTTAAAGTAGGAGATGCATTTTCTGAGATTAAATATATACTTTCAGGAGTGCCCCAAGGCAGTGTTTTGGGACCATTGCTCTTTCTTTTATTTGTAAATGATCTTCCAGAAGGGATCAAAGCTATCATCAAACTTTTTGCTGATGATGTTAAAATGATTGTTAATCCTTTTATTAATCTAACAGCTGATTTGAAGTTGCTAGAACTTTGGGAGTCTCGTTGGTGTTTAAATTTTAATGTAGATAAGTGTATGGTCATGCAAATTGGTTCTTGTAATCCTAAGAATCAGTACTTGTTTGGTGGTTTGCCTTTGAGATGTGTTGAAAGCGAGAAGGACCTTGGAGTGGTCTTTAACACCAGTTTCAACTTTGAGGATCATGTGAGAAAGTGCATTGCTAAAGCTAATGGTACCATTGCCTGGCTTACAAGAAATATTATATCGAGGGAAACAAGCGTTATGCTGGGCTTGTATAAGTCTTTAGTAAAGCCTCATATAGAGTATTGTTCACAGGCATGGGCTCCGATGGCTAGGCATGGAAACTGGTCACTGATTCTTGAATTGGAAGGTGTCCAGAGATCGTTCACCCGTATGATTGATGGATTGGGACTCATGACTTACAGAGAGAGACTGGATAAGCTGAACCTCACCACCCTGCTTGAACGCAGGGTTCGTGGAGATCTCATTGAGATGTTCAAGATCCAGGAAGGCTTTGTGGGTTATGGTTCCGATTTATTTGGTCGTTCTGGTAGGACTGTTGCTGCTAGATCAAAGACTCATAGATTCACCACAAATGAGACTGATTTCTTTGCCCAAAGGGTCTTGCGCTATTGGAACAGTCTACCACCACTTGTGAAAGCTAGTGAGTCGGTTACTGGTTTCAAGAGGGGATTAGATGCCTTTCGGCTTCATGGATATCGAGCTAATAAGCTTGGTCATCACTGGGAACTTTCATATGATATATTTGATAGAATTGATGTTACTGTAGCTCACAGGAGTAATTATGTAAATTATATGAAAGATAATCCAATAATAGCTAAGAGGAAGAAGGTCAATTTAAAAGGCCTTACTTAGGCACTTATCAGCCAAGTTTTCAGTTAACTTCTTTTAATTTTTATATTTTAATATAATAATTAAACGTAAATTGTACAGTTTTGAAGTAATTATATTTGTATATGAGATGCCCAGAGAGGCATAAATTTAAATCTTATCTTATCTTTCTTCAACAGATTAAAAACTATAGATGTGCTACTTAATCTAATCTTTATTATTTGAATGTCTCACTATCTATCATCTCTGCTTGGTACACAGGCCACTTATCCAATAACATGAAAACATCTGCAACACCCAAGTAAAATCGTCGTCAGTTTCTGTAATCGCCCCCACTTCCACTTTTCAGATATTTGTTCATTGTTCTTTCATTAAACATTTATTCGAATAGTTCTATAAAACATAATTATTTGATCTTTATTTATCTTAAGCTACAATTATGTAGGAGGGGTAATGCAATGACTAGATTTTGTGTTGTGAACTCATGTCTAATGCTTTAAAAGACTCTTTGTCAAGACAGAATGCAACTGACCGTAAAAACTTCCTCGCTGTTTGCAGGTAAAATTTCTCATTCCTTTTGCCATCTTAAAGATAATTCACACATTATGTAATCAATCTGACCATCTCATAACCCTTGAGCAGAATAAAAAGTTAGAGAGTAAGCATTTCCTAACCCCTCGGCCTCGGATATTATGAAATATGTGAACAATTCCTTGAAGTGATAAAATTTGAAATTGATAATCCTTCTATCAGAATCATTTCAAAATTATTGAACGCTTTCCTTTATAAATTGAGATCAAACAATTGTTTGATACACCAGTCCTATTGTTGTCAATAGCCCTTTTGTTCACTCTTACTCTGTTCCCAGACAACCACATTCCTCAGGTTGAGCATACAAACACTATGTGACGAGGCAGGCACAAGTGGGGTAATCGACGATAACAGCGATTATCTCCTTAATTTCTGTAACATAATAGAAAACTTGTTATGTCACCGTTATCATGGTAAGCAGTTTGTTTTGTTATTGAATTCAGCTGTTAAATCATGCTTGACTTGAAATTGCTAGATACAATAACTATAGTATAATTTAATTAGCTGTCTGATCGTAATTAAGCTATGCTTTCTTAATCAAATGCACTCCTTATCAGACAAAGCTATCGAAATTTTACTGTATGTAAAAAGCTTTTTTTTTTTTCAGTTCAAAACAAGAAACAGGTTGGAACTGCAGACGGCATTGTGTTTTGGGAGTTTCTCAAGCTTGCTTGCAAGTCGGTCCCTTACAACTGCATTCAGAAGATAAATCTGATGGATAATGTGAAAACCACACGAGGCAAGGTAATACACATTATATTATGTAGATATAATTGTTTACAGTAGAATTAATGTATCAATTATCACGTGAAATTGAAATACTCAAACCGTTGGTGGAGTAGTAAAACTAGTAAAATAAGATTACATACTACAAGCCTAATCTGTGATTATGATCTAAAACATCTTATCTAAAGTACACGTATAATCTCCAGGGAAGAGCCTGGATACGAATGGCACTGATGGAGAAGAGACTGTCAGAGTATTTCTCAGTTGCTCTTATGGAGGACACTGTTTTGAAGAGATTTTACGATCACGGGAGTTTTATGCTGAACGAGGAGGCCCACATAGTGGCTAACGTTATGACTGCTCTTAACTCTGTGGATTTCAGGTAAATCACATTTCTATTTGATCCTGTTTATATTTCAATGATGTTATTATGTTCCTTAATTTCATTTAGTAATTGCGTATTATCATTGCCTTGTTGTAACGATCAGATCTTATATCAGTCTGTTATGAAGCTATTATATCAGTCTGTAATGAAGCTATTAAATTTAAGCACTAGATATTAACCTTCTTACAGTTTGTGTTTGAGGAGCCACACCTTCGATCTTCCAGTTGTTTACTCAGTTGACTACACTCCCTTTCTCAAATACCCAATAAGGTATGTTATATATTTTGTGATACAGTGAAAATGTAAACCCATTTTATATTCTGTGTATATATCATGTTGATAAAGCTTTCGCTGACGTTAAGGAAAGTAGAGATTGTCCAGCAAGGGTGTTAATTAGCCGCAATCCTCCCAAGATAAAATACGTTAGGATCTTAAGATTTTTTAGATATCATTGAGCATAAGCAGTTTTAAGCATAGTTTTAAACTAATTACAACACTACAAATCTATTACATTTATTGAGATGAGTCATCGATCCTGTTGATGGCGGTAAGCCGAAACTAGTCGAGACTCTGCGGATCATCCCGAGATACGTTGTATCACTGCTTATGCTCAATGATATCTAAAAAATCGTATATATATCATATCACCCCTCAGTGCTTTTCATAAAAGATCGTTAGGGCCGATCATATCATGATAGAATGAAACAAATGTGCGACTAATCTATAATGTGTGTACTTGTATTTGGCTGTAATCGATTTGGCTGTCTTGGTTGTATCGGTGTTTTGGCTTGAACTCATGTGTGTAAACATGTCGTGTACAATTAATTTGATTAAAAAACATGCTGGACTGTGGACAATACATAAATACTTTATTGAGAACTGACAAGTAGATAACATGTTATATGGAGAGACAAATTTGGCTTAAAAGCCATCAGTATTAAAGTTCAAAGTTTTCGCAAATGAGGGAAAAGTTCACAATGTGTTCATAAAGAAATTCAGCACTTAGAAGATTGACCCTATTTCTAAGGAAAGATATATGGGGATATATGAAACGTTTATTCCAGAAATGGTGAGTATCGCTGAATCAATTAACAAGAATCTAGCTCAGATAATCTGGTTGCGTTATATTAAGTAACACAGCAGCACTGGTAGATACTATATATCACAGTCATCAAAGAAGTTGAGCAAGCACAAGTTGCATTTTTTTTTCAAGTAGAAAAATGTTGAAAGGTTTGAATTAACGAAACGAGAGTTGTATTTGCAATGAGGCAAGTTTCAGTTGAAATGACTGTATCTGCATGCTCCATAAATGCAGAATTTAGATTCAAAAATCGAATCCACATAGAAATACAATATACTAAATTATCATAATATAATGCAAATATAGTACAATCTTGACATGATGTCATTTCCTAATCTTCACTATACAACTGTACTTCTCTACCGCACTAAGTGCAATCTACTCTTAGGTTATCATTAAAACACTCAAACCATAAACTGAACAAGGAAGTGCTCTGCAGGTACATGACACAATACACAAGTACACATATTACACACGAATATTTGTAGCCGTATTAACTTACAAGTGCCACTGTACATTACACTCGACACGCCTGCCTAATGTGGCATTACAAAGCTGTCTAACAATGTGTTTAACTTTACTATTACTAACTTTCTGCTACTATTTATCTTCTCAGATGTTCCTAATCAAGACTTACAAGAACTTGGTAGTAACAAGAGTACGATTTGTAGCTCAGAGAAAATGTAACCAATTTAATTAATCAGTTCAGCAAATATTTCTGAACTCATACAAATGACAAATTCCAGAGTGTATTACACATGCATTCCAACATAGTTTGGACAGGTTAACTATCAATACGGCCAGCTCAATATCACGCACTAGCTTGTTAACAAAACGTCTGTACAAAACTAAAATATTCGCTACAATATAACACTGTAATAATCCTGTTAATTGTTAAAAGTTACCTACAGTTACTTAAATAAGTTACCTAAAGTTACATAAAGAAGTTACTTATGGTAACTTAAAATAAGTTACCTAAAGTTTATATTTCAGTGACAAGCAACTAGATTTGGAAGAAGCTCTAATAAGACTGGAGAGAAACAGAGTACAGAACGATGCTTCCTCCACCTGTAGTGGGCACACTAGGTAAGTTAACTAACTAACCAATTACTGATTGGTTTAAAGCCTGAGGTGGGCAATCTAATGTTGCTGTTTGTGGTCGAGAGTCCGACTATTATATATGAGGACTAATATCTAGACTAGATAAGGACTAATATCTAGACTAGATAAGGACTAATATCTAGACTAGATAAGGACTAATATCTAGACTAGATGAGGACTAATATCTAGACTAGATGAGGACTAATATCTTAATATCTAGACTAGATGAGGACTAATATCTAGACTAGATGAGGACTAATATCTAGACTAGATGAGGACTAATATCTTAATATCTAGACTAGATGAGGACTAATATCTAGACTAGATGAGGACTAATATCTAGACTAGATGAGGACTAATTATAATATCTAGACTAGATGAGGACTAATATCTAGACTAGATAAAGACTAATATCTAGACTAGATGAGGACTAATATCTAGACTAGATGAGGACTAATATCTAGACTAGATGAGGACTAATATCTAGACTAGATGAGGACTAATATCTAGACTAGATGAGGACTAATATCAAGACTAGATGAGGACTAATATGGACATCTTTAACAAGACGTTGTCTCACGTTTTGACTGCCACATGCTCGAATTTTGACTGCCAAACCATGTGATAGTTATTACTCGGCCAATTTTAAACCAATTACCACAAAAATTTGTAGTTTGGTCAACAAGGATACAATAATCACTCATTCATCAACATGAAACAGCTAAATTTGTTATTTGTACACTTTATGATAAGAATATCACAGGGAAACTTGTTTATGGCTGTGTAAAATCGAATTTACATGATTTCAGTGAGTTATCATGATAGATGTGACCATCAAACCTTTCTGAAGCATGTGGGTGTTATATGTACCGCGATTAATGATTAAATATACGAAATATGGTACGATTATCACACATCACTTAGGGTAGGCTATAATGACAACCAGTGAGGACTATTTTGATGTTTTGAATGCTATTCAAGGTGCTTTAGGCTGTAAAATTATGTTGTAATGATTGACAATCAATAAATGACCTGTAAAAGATACAAATATCACATTAAATTCAATATTTTTCACGAATCAATGTCAATAATGTGTGAATGTTGTTTTTGAAGATCAATTCATCCAATATTATTAAACATAGTCAATAAGTAATAGGCATTTCATTAAATAAGCACTTTTCAGATACAAATATCACTAGATTAAAAAAAATTTAAAAAAATTAAAAATTATTTAAATTGAAATTGTGATATTCGTATCCTATTTTGGTTCCTAGATGTGCTGTGTAAGATGTTCAGGGAGTAATAATGTTTATTGTACATGTATCAAAAAGAATCTCGTTCTATAGACCCATATTGATACATTTATCACGAATGTTACACTTGTAAAATTTGGTTCACAAAAAATGTGATATTTGTATCCTTCAAGTGGTTGGAACAATTTTTCATCCTTGTATCCATACGGAGTTACCATTTTTGTAGGTGTGAATGAAGTTTCATCTTTATTAATGAATTATGTACCCTTCAAACAGCCACCCAGAGAACTGGACCCGAAAAATAGCTATATTTCGTTGTTTTAAAATACAATGTGATAATTGTAGTACATCTAACGGGAGGTTGATTTTTGTATCATACTTTTCACTAATTCTGTTTGGAATTGCCTCTGGTACAGTTTGAGTTCAAAGAAACAGAAAAAAGAGGTCAAGGGGATTCAATAATCACATCATAAAACGGACAATTTTGAAACGAAAATGTGTGATATTTGTATCATAATGAGCCTAAATAACGATTTCCTTTTGTACACTGCTTCCTTAGGAGACAGGCATCATGTTACGAAATTTTCATAAAAAATTGATAACATTCAGTCTCTCCAGACCCATTTGTATCATTATCACATCTCAGAAAATGTGATATTTGTATCATTGGACTTTAACGTGGTCTAGCTCTGTCAATTTATGTGATAGCATGATTTTGATTTCATAGTCATAAAGCTATGAAGATTCTGCAACCAATCAATCGAGTCTATCATAGCCAATAGACTATATAAGACTCTAAAAATCAATTTAGAAAAAGTCAAAACGTGAGACAACGTCTTGTTGAAGGTGTCCATATCTAGACTAGATGAGGACTAATATCTAGACTAGATGAGGACTAATATCTAGACTAGATGAGGACTAATATCTAGACTAGATAAGGACTAATATCTAGACTAGATGAGGACTAATATCTAGTCTTCCAAACGGACAACTTATCTTGTGCCTCTATAATATTGGGACTACACTGTAGCTGATAACCAAACTGCCCTGATATCCAGATTACCCGTGCAGTGTGCACCTCCAGCTAAACCATATTGTTGGTACAGACAGCCAGACAGATCTATAAATAGATCTGATATATCAATTTCAGGAAAACAAATCCTGAGATTTGCAAAGTTAGGATTGAAGATATTTTACCGAGAAACTTACTTCGCGCTTACCTGAAAACGTAACACATAACGGCTGTTTAATGTTCAGGGTTTTAGGGAAATATTTCTTAACTCACATAAATTAGAAAAGTCACAGTCACAAGCAAATATTATTATTCTAAAGAATATATGTATTCTTTAGAATATATTTTCAGTCTAAAGAATACAATATGTTATATATTATAAAATACATACGCTGGCTGGGAAATCTATTGTTCATGGAATGATACTTACTGCTAAGTACATATACTTAATTAAGTATATTATATACTAAATAATACTAAGTAGATGTTTTAAATAAGTTGTTTGATGGTGATAATTTCTGCAGTCTCCGGGCGAGATCTGTGTGTACATTCTCGTAAGTTTGAGTTGGTTTTGAACTTGTACCTTTAAACCCCTCCTCTCGCGATAAAACACTTCTTGATTAGTTCTATATCCTATAAGACTTGTTCTAAAATTTGAGCAATTACCATTGACACTAAAATGCTAACCTTTTTAATTCTGATATCCTTTCTTCTAATTGAAATTAATAGCTATGAAGAAGGAAGAGAAATACAATTTTTCAGAACTCAACAGTCACCGTTCAATGATTTACAAATTGCATTATATCCATTCTTAAGAAGGTGCAAAGTTTTATTTATAGGTGTTCTTTCAGTACCATATCAGAACGAGAATTGTCAGCTGAAGAGGAACTGATAAAACTGAAGAGACAAATGAAAATAGTGGTCGACCAAAAGGTAGGATTTGTCAATTACTCAATTACTCAATTACTGTAATTGAGATCTTGTTAACTGTAGTCGTGATCATGTTGCTGAATATGTCAGCTTGGTATATGTTACGATATTTTAACCAATTACCCAATTAGTTCCAGGATGAAATCTAAAATATTAGATATTTAAGTTCTGTTTTTCCTTGCAAAATTATACGGCAATTTAACATGAAATAGGGACTCCTAACCCTACAGAAATTTAAAGTTGAACTTGACTAGATTCGTTACATGCGGCAATAAAACCATATAAGCTTATAACACCACGGTCGCTGAAATTCACTGTTTGTCAAAACTTTTACATAATTAACTGGAGCTTGATTGTGTAATAAAACTTTATTGACAGTCAACTGAACTGAGTAGCGAATCCCACACAATATATTTACATTAAAACTTAAGTTGCATCATGTGCTTGTTTCTCTTCAACCATTGAATAATGAATATTAATTGTGTTTCAAATTATATACTCCAGTACAGACTACAGCTCTTAATTCTTTTCAAATCACTTTTCTCTTCCTCCCTGTATATGTTTCGTCCTAAATGTCGAGGCCTTTAAAATTCTTTACATCACAAGTAAGATTTATTAAACAAAGTTTGTGTATTTTTCTGCCCACGGAGTTGCCATTACATAATGGTTTTGTCTGTAACTGAAGCATAACATTAAACTGTCTATAAGCTGTACCCTACACTGACTAATACTGGAATCTCCAGAGATAACAATTGTTTAAGTTTAAGTGAGATTAAGTTACCAGAATATACTGCCACAAAAAAGTGCAGTACAACATCTTCTATTTATTAGTGGTTAAACAGCTTTACAGTGAACAAGGTCTAGTACCTGTACAATGTACATTGTGCCTGCAATAGACACTAACTGTGTACAATGTCCACCTTGGACACTGTACACAGTACAGTGTACAATGTCGACACTGTAGAGAATATAGAGAGACAATAAGGTGTCTAGAGTTTAGTTTCAAGAGAACACTTTACGGTGTCTAAAGAGTCCAGAGTACAGTGTTGTGTGTTTCAGGCGTATCTGGAGGAGATCCTGCACCTAAGGGAAGTGAAATGCACAGAACTAACACAGCAGCTGTTACTAGGTGTTACTAGGTGTTACTAGGTGTTACTAGGTGTTACTAGGTGTGTGTTTCAGGCGTATCTGGAGGAGATCCTGCACCTAAGGGAAGTGAAATGCACAGAACTAACACAGCATCTGTTACTAAGTGTTACTAGGTGTTACTAGGTGTTACTAAGTGTTACTAGGTGTGTGTTTCAGGCGTATCTGGAGGAGATCCTGTACCTAAGGGAAGTGAAATGCACAGAACTAACACAGCAGCTGTTACTAGGTGTTACTAGGTGTTACTAGGTGTTACTAGGTGTTACTAGGTGTGTGTTTCAGGCGTATCTGGAGGAGATCCTGTACCTAAGGGAAGTGAAATGCACGGAACTAACACAGCATCTGTTACTAAGTGTTACTAGGTGTTACTAGGTGTTACTAAGTGTTACTAAGTGTTACTAGGTGTTACTAGGTGTGCGTTTCAGGCGTACCTGGAGGAGATCATGCACCTAAGGGAAGTGAAATGCACGGAACTAACACAGCAGCTGTTACTAAGTGTTACTAAGTGTTACTAGGTGTTACTAGGTGTGTGTTTCAGGCGTATCTGGAGGAGATCCTACACCTAAGGGAAGTGAAATGCACGGAACTAACACAGCAGCTGTTACAGTGGGACGAACAGGCGGAGAAGGAGAAAGCCCTGTCAGACAGCATCATAGTGGAGCTACAGGGCCAGCTAGCTGAGCAGCAGTTCAGAAACAGGATGTTACAGGAACAGATGGACAGGAGTACGAGTAATGGGTTCCAGGAGATGGAACCTGTTCTTGCTAGGTAGGGGCGTTTAGTGTTACTAGGTGTTACTAGGTGTTAGTAGGTGTTACTAGGTGTTACTAGGTGTTACTAGGTGTTACTAGGTGTTATTAGGAGATGGAACCTGTTCTTGCTAGGTAGGGGAGTTTAGTGTTACTAGGTGTTACTAGGTGTTACTAGGTGTTAGTAGGTGTAACTAGGTGTTACTAGGAGATGGAACCTGTTCTAGCTAGGTAGGGGAGTTTAGTGTTACTAGGTGTTAGTAGGTGTTACTAGGTGTTACTAGGAGATGGAACTTGTTCTTGCTAGGTAGGGGAGTTTAGTGTTACTAGGTGTTATCAGGTGTTACTAGGTGTTACTAGGAGATGGAACTTGTTCTTGCTAGGTAGGGGAGTTTAGTGTTACTAGGTGTTATTAGGTGTTACTAGGTGTTACTAGGAGATGGAACTTGTTCTTGCTAGGTAGGGGAGTTTAGTGTTACTAGGTGTTATCAGGTGTTACTAGGTGTTACTAGGAGATGGAACTTGTTCTTGCTAGGTAGGGGAGTTTAGTGTTACTAGGTGTTACTAGGTGCTATTAGGTGTTACTAGGTGTTACTAGGTGTTACTAGGTGTTACTAGGAGATGGAACTTGTTCTAGCTAGGTAGGGGAGTTTAGTGTTACTAGGTGTTACTAGGTGCTATTAGGTGTTACTAGGTGTTACTAGGTGTTACTAGGTGTTACTAGGTGTTACTAGGAGATGGAACCTGTTCTTGCTAGGTAGGGGAGTTTAGTGTTACTAAGTGTTACTAGGTGTTAGTAGGTGTTACTAGGTGTTACTAGGTGTTACTAGGTGTTACTAGGTGTTATTAGGAGATGGAACCTGTTCTTGCTAGGTAGGGGAGTTTAGTGTTACTAGGTGTTAGTAGGTGTTAGTAGGTGTTACTAGGTGTTAGTAGGTGTTACTAGGTGTCACTAGGTGTTACTAGGTGTTATTAGGTGTTAGTAGGTGGTACTAGGTGGTACTAGGTGTTACTAGGTGTTACTAGGTGTTACTAGGTGTTATTAGGAGATGGAACCTGGTCTTGCTAGGTAGGGGAGTTTAGTGTTACTATGTGTTACTAGGTGTTTAGGTGTTCAGGTGTCGCTGGGTTGCACAATTGAGTTTAGTGTTACCCTAGGTGTTACTAGGTGTTAGTAGGTATAACTAGGTGTCAGTAGGTGGTACTAGGTGTTATTAGGTGTTACTAGGTGTTACTAAATACTAGGTGTTACTAGTTGTTACTAGGTGGTACTAGGTGTTACTAGGAGATGGAACCTGGTCTTGCTAGGTAGGGGGAGTTTAGTGTTACTATGTGTTACTAGGTGTTACTAGGTCTTTAGGTGTTCAGGTGTCGCTGGGTTGCATAATTGTGATGAAAAATTAAGAATACATGCAATGATTGTCAGTTAGTCTTGCTTAAACTTGGATTTAAAGGATTCAATGATTATTGATTTATTCTATATATTTGATTCAATCTGGACTGATAACATTATCATGTAATCAATAAACTAATCAATTAACTAATTAATTAACTAATTAATTAACCAGGAACAGGAACAGTGTGTCCCTCCACAGATCAACAGAGGATCCCAATAAAGCTGTAGATGTTATAGCTCATATGGACCGTAACGGGTTCTGTTCCAGGAGGTTAGTGTATTACACTAATACACAGTGTATAATGTATAATGTATATTACACTGTGTATTACATGCTGTTACTTAGTCTGATTATTAACTATTGTAACTAAGTATTTTTAAGTCAAATTGTTACACTTATATGTATTATGTATTCGGATATTCGTGACCCCTATAATACTTACGGCTTGTCGTCACCTGTCATACACTGGTGAGTGCCGGTCAACTGCAAACTCTTGATACATTTTCGCAAATTGTTATATTCTAACCATGGTAACATTAGCCATACATGTAACCATGGTAACATTACATGTAACCATGGTAACATTACATGTAACCATGGTAACATTAGCATTCTTCTTCAGTTCCTCAGACCAGTCAGTGAAGCTGAGTGCGTCTGACCAGTCAGTGAGACGCAGCACAGAGACTGTCATTACCAGAACCAGCTCTACCTCCGGCTCTACCTCCAGACCTAGAGCTAAATCTGGGTACTCTAAACAGGTAGCTAGTCTCCTCCTTCTTTTCTAAACAGCTACTGAGTAGTGAGATTTAGGTTTTGTTACATTGGAAGTTATAGTAAAATCAACAAAATAGGAGAGTGAAATCAATACGGTGAGATACCCAACACCGTGGTGGGAGGTGAATTTCATTCTCCTTTTTATTTGACTTCACTATACCTACCGATATGTAAATTGTTCTATATTGGGTAAAATGGGGAGATGGATAAACTTGTAGAGTTTAGGTTTAAAGATTTGGTAATCTAAAGCTATACTATACTGAGGTCGTTGAGTAAATCAGCATTCACGGTGATAACAATACAATTTAATACATCAAAGAATACCCTGATCTTGATAAATGAATCATTGCTGTTTATTATTGCTTTAGAAAGGTCGACCACCCTCGATGAGAGAATGAAAGTTGGAATATTGCCAATGTTGGGTAAAATATACAATCTATTCAGTAGCTTGTAGTTTTAGTTTTCTTTCTTCTTCACTCATTCAAATGCATACCTTTTTTAAATTTTGCGATGTCTTTAGTTGCGTCCGCTTCCCGAATTCTGCTAAATCTTTGTGCCAATTTAGCAATTTTTCGTGCACTGCATGGGATTTATTGTGTGATTGTGAGAATGGCTGATAATTGGCCGTTTTAATTAATAAGTGAAGATTTATATCCTTTATGATAGGCTTCTTCGTTAATAATGCACTTAAAAATGAAATTTGATTCCTTGCACCAAGCTAATACTTAATCAGTTATCACATCACAGCATACACCGTTATCATAAAGTAACAAGCTTAATTAAATTAAATCACTTTTACAGAAAATAGCTGTAGCCGTGGAAGATATCCTGCCCTCTGAAAAAGAAAGGCTCATGTTCAACGTCCACAAGAAACTGCAAACTGAAACTTTTATCTCCTTCGGCGACCCAGACGGTTAATCTTCATTCTTTCTGCTTTCCAAATTGTTAAATGAAATTCTTGATTTTTGTATAAACTATGTTTTGTAAATTTTTGAACCATTTTATCGCTGCTGTTATTCAGATAAGCTGTGATTAACTTGAGAGAGATTTATTACGGTTTTATAACGAAAAATCAATGCAAGCGGACAGATTTTAAACTAGTATAGATTGTATCTCTAGGCTAGGGATAATATTTACGGGAATATTTTCTGATATGTGATCAGATGTATCAGAAATCTGTTTTGTAGGTATCCAGTAATATATAATATCATAAAGGGGAGTTTGAAATTGCCGAATATTTTCCGTTTTGGCATCAGATAACATAACTAGGCGGATAAGTCTAACATTTTATTGGTAGCTATCCTTATCGATAGTAATTAGATTTAATAAGTGTTACAGATTATATATTAGCTTGTCTCGTATTTGTTGTGTGTAATTAATACCTTCTTCTTCACACGACGCCGTTCCTATGTAATGATCTGATGTGTGTATGCCATGTGTGATCTGCCGTTTTCTGACAAAAGTGCTTAAGTAACATTTTGGAAATTTCGGGTTTTTTGGTCTAACTTTTGTTTTTGGGTCGAGAACTATCCCTGAGGACCATTGGATAGATTCGCCGACTTCCCGAAACCCCCTTTTTGGAACCCCCTAAAATGCAAAATATGGTCATTTTTCTGAGAAAAGTGCTTAAGTAACATTTTGGAAAACTGGTGCCGTTTATCTCAAAAACGGTGCCATTTCGGGAACTGAAAACGGTGGCATTGTTATTTACGCCCAAAACTGGCCTAGTGACGGTAATTTGGTGATCGTGGGTCTTTTGGCATGGGAGAAAACAATTTATGTCACTTAAGCACTTTTGTGAAAACGGGCTCGTTTTCTCACAAAAGTGCTTAAGTGCCATTATACGTTTAATTAAATGTTGATACTGCCAACTGAAACTATATAATCGGTACTAACAAATCTAAATTTTCACGGCGGATCGATTGGTGATGGTCATAAACTTCAGAAACGCTAGCTTCGCCGTCAAAATTGCCGATTTGTCAATGCAGAACGTTTCAAAATATACGTCATAATTTGCTCTAAAATTTTTTATTCTCTTATAAGTTGAGACTGGCGGGATTATCGACAGGCAAGGGAACATTACCAAAGAGATAGAAGCGATTTGCTTCACTGCTCCTTCTCTGTTGATATGGAGAAAGTTCTTTTACTACCACACATGCCGGAGTACAAGGAGGCGATTTTTACAAGACGCCTTGTCACATTTAACGAGACCTTCGCGAGGCTGGGGTCAGACGGAGCTCCTTTAGCGATTCTTTGGAATGAGTCAATCGCAGCCCGCAGGAAGGAAAGATGAGAATGTGTCCTCGACTTGGATAAGGGCAATAAAACATTTTGCCAGTTGGCAAGATTGGTGGTAGCAGGGAGATCATTTTTTGGGCAGACAATTGTTCTGCTCAAAACAAGTGTTGGACTTTATTTACTGCCCTATGTTCAATTATCAACAGCCCAGATGTTGACCTGGACAAGATAACGGTCAAGTATCTAGAGCCAGTGCACACCTTTATGAGTGCAGACTCATTCCACCATAAAGTGGAGTTGTCCATTAAACAATCCGGTCAACTTCATGATTATAAGGACTTTGTTCAGGCAGTTGAACAGGTGGGTACTGCATGAACTGCACAGACTTTGAAACGTGGCCAAGGTCCTACGGAACAAGCAACTAAAAAACTAAAGATGTTAAAGTTGTAAGTTTCCAGCGTGGGTCTGTAGGAATGGAATGGAAAACAAATCATGACGAGGTTTCCTTTCATTTCACTCCATTTCTCAGACAAAAAGACGAGAGACTCATTTCCATAGGTTGAAAAATAGCTTTCGCCCAGGAAGAGACCCGGGTGATAGCTACTCCCAAAAAACAAGACATTATTATATACGTAAACTGTGCAGGCTTATGGCCCCGAGTAGTAGGGTATTCTGGATGAACTTGCCTGATAGTACAGATATAACAGATCTTAATCGAGTGTTTGACTAAAAATCATCTATTTCTTGTATTATTCACCATTTATTTATGTACAACAATTATGTTACATTTGTATACGCTTGTTTTTCTTTGCCTCGCGTTACAATATCAATAATTCGCAAATCATTGGTCTTAATGAAGAAAGCCTCATCTGAGTGCTTAATTTAATTTCTAAAGAAAGAAAATTATTTATTATTATCCCGTACTTTCACCAATCAACTCTTCGTTGAAATGCTGGTAGAATTCCGACTATTTTTTAATCCGCTGGGGAGAAAGGAGTATTTTCGTGTTCTTAAACCACCACCAATCAATTTGTCGTAAAATTTTAGGTCAGAATGATCGCAGATAAAGTTCCCACTAATGTGGCTGTACTTAAGCACTTTTCTCAGAAAACGAAATTTTCAAATTTTCTATTTCAGCGTGTCCCCTATTTACAACCAATGTTTCATCACAACAGTTTTAGGCTAATTTTTCGTTTTACTTTCGATGACCAATGGTTTGAACGGGTCATTTTCATCAGAACATGTAGTATCTGCCGATGTGACTGTACTTACGCACTTTTCTCAGAAAACGAAATTTCAAATTTTCTATTTCAGTGTGTCCCCTATTTACAACCAATGTTTCATCACAACAGTTTTAGGCTAATTTTTCGTTTTACTTTCGATGACCAATGGTTTGAACGGGTCATTTTCATCAGAACATGTAGTATTTGCCGATGTGACTGTACTTAAGCACTTTTCTAAGAAATCCAAACTATAATTTGTGATTTTGAGGCACTTTCCGAGAAGTTAGGATGATGAAACCTTGTCAGAAGTCTCAAAAGTCGACAAAGTACCTTAGAAACATAGTGGGTGCAGTTTAAATTGTACAGTAGCTAGCCCAGAGCAATTACAGAATTGAAATCTTTAACCTCAATTTGCACAAAATGAACCTTGTGTTACTTAAGCACTTTTGTCAGAAAACGGCAGTGATCACTGTGCTAATTTATAAGCTACGGCTGAGTGTAAGATTGATGTAGATTGCTGCCATGTCGTTTGGAAATGTTATGTTTGTCTGGATTTCGTTTGTGATAAATTGAAATTTTATAGCAAAATGCACCTTTAAAGAGATTTTTGTTTTATTTGTCTCTTGTACAAGGGTGAGTCTAAAGGAATGGAAATTCTGCCACGCGGAAAATGATAACCCGATATGACCACAACCCGAGAAAAAGGCTACCGTTTGCATCGGAAACTCTACTTCGACAGAGACGCGCCCACCTCAACAACAACAAAGCTGGTAACAATTTCATACCCAAATTACGTGTTTGTAACGCGCTTAAACATTGAGCTATGAGAAATTTTCGCTAAAACTAATTTCTTAGATCACATGACGCGCGCGCGCATTCTGGTCTATGCGAATGAATAAAAAATTAATTCGTCGGATGAAAATACTTTACGATCCGTTTAGTTGATCGATTGTCTTCGACAGTACAATCGTCCCCGCACTAATCATGTCGAAAGAGTGAACGTATTCATCTGTGCGCGCTGTGTAGGCCACTACACAGATGAATACGTTCACTCTTTCGACACGTGCGCGCACTCCACGGATGAAAGGAGACATTGGACATACGTATTACGTTCCACTAAAAACGTTAAACTATAAACGCATTTTCCTCTTTATTTTGCCGGCTGGAATAAGAAAGGATATGCAAATTGCAACGTGTAGTATATCAACGACCATGTAGTCAACACTGTCTCACCGGGACCTAATTTTACTTTGAGCATGAGGCATGATCTGTCGCTGTACTTGATTTGGTTTGAATATTTTCCACTTTCACTGGTAACCGATTTTCTTTATATTTCGAATCTGATTTCAGGTCACTTACTGTATGTAGCAGGTAGAAAGAGGGCCTGGCATTGCTGCATAGCTGATATTTCCTGACACGCGAAAAGGGAATTATGCAAATTGCAACGTTTGACATGACCTAACCTGGCAGCATGGGGCGAACTTACAAACGCTCAGAGCCCCTCTCGTCTAGCCTGTACAAATTTAAAATTCTTGGAGAGTGTCGAGTGATTTAATTTAGTGGGACCGTACTATGAAATGTTAGGTCTCGTGATGCGAGACAAAATAAAAGCATATGCATCATTATATCAGCTGTGATCTATTTATCCGTCATTTTTAGTACTATTAGTATTTTACAATTGGGAATCTCATTTGCTAGGCACTGTCGATTTAGTTAACTGGAGAACAATGGAAAGGAATAAAACACGGTATATTTGACAAATTTACATTGCATTTTCCAAGTAACTCGAAGTACAGTGTATAATTGTAACCGAAAAACGTCAGAAAACAGCACTGCTAATAATATCACTATCAGTCGGAACTCTTATAATTTACAGTTTCACGCGCGACTTGGCACGTCACTTCTATTGTAACTTACATCTTGGAGTTTCATTTCATTAAAAATCTGAATCTTAAAACTTAAATGATAAATCATAATCATTAATCTTTAACTGGTCGTATCAAGCCACACTAATTCCTCCTCAAATTGTCAGCTGATCATCTTCAATCATGAGGATCAAACTTAAAATAAAGACGTCTTGTAAATAAGATAATTGATCACGTTGTAGTAAGCTGTATGTTTAACATGCATAATAACTTTAAATTGTTCTGAATAAACCCCATCACCAACCAACGTCCACCTTAAAACTAAAACCATTCAAAAAGAAAATTTTGATCTGATACATAAATTTGTAAGTAAGCAGGGGCTTTTTAAAATAGTCAAAATATTATAAAAATATTAAAACAGCTATTTGAAAGCAGTAATCTGAACCGAAAAAGGCTGTATAGCAATCTACATGACAAGAAATTCACATTCATTGCGCATAACAAAATGACTAGAACTAAATGTGGGAAAAAAGCGGTGCAACAAACGTAAACAGAGAATGATAACATATTATCCTGGAGATGTCCGAATGTCCGGAGTCCTATGCTGGGAGTCCTGGGTCCGGAGTCTAGTGTCCGGCAGCAGCTTGTTCTCTGAGACGTTTAGCATTAGCGCCGAATGACCGGGCGCCCTCCATAAGTGTGGTAGATTTGTTCTCCAGTGTTTCCAACTTCTCACCTCTCTCCTCAGTAGCCTAGCAGGGGGTTTGTTAGCAAATACTAGTGTGTTGTAACCCTGGATACTCAAGTAAAGGCACCAGTTTTTAATATGGGCCAGTGATTCAGCTAAATAAAAACTTAACGATATACATTTTATTTGAATTCAGTGTTTGAAGGTGTTATAACTAATAAACAAGGTTAAATAACAGGAGTGCATTTAAAAATTAAGTTAAGATGGAAGAGCACAATAACTGAGAGGATAGGTTGATACACAAAACATAATTAAAACTGGCTTGGTTGATGTTCCAAAGAGATGTTGGGGATCATCAATTGAGCATGCTCGAAAAGGTATATCGGAAAAGTACGATCCTTGCATAAACAAGACACACCAAGTGCACAAATTAGAGAGAAAAAACGCGAAATTGTTGTAAATTCGTGAAAATAATATTATATGAACCAGGGTAAATAAAGAAGAGCGAAAAAAGGATCAGAAATTTCATGAAACAAATTATATCATGCAGGATTTACAATCTAAATGATCACGATGGATATTTATTGGTATTGGTATTGGTAGAAGCAAAAGACATTACTACTATTATAATTTTGATGTAATGATTGGTTATTAAAAGAGTACATTTCCTTATCTCATAACCTAGATAAGACACCAAGTCTACAGATTTCTTGTTTCACATGCTTTATATATACAGATTACAGACACTGTTGATGCACTCTTTATTTACCCATATTGCAAGGTTTATACACCTTGGAAGGATAGGTTTTGGTGTCGGTTCTTGTTACCCCTATTGCTTGAATACGCAAATTGCTGGAAGATTTTCTGGTTTTAGGGATTTAATGATAATTATTAAATGGTATTATTGTTATTGCTCGATTTAACTCGAGGGCTCCTTAGACCAGCGAGTGTTCGAGTAATGAGATAAACTGCTTAAACAAACCCAATATCACTCAGAGTCAATACCTGTACAGCTAGAGTGAATCTTAACTCCGTAACTCAGCGCCAGTATACTTACTAGACACTATATTCAGAAACAATACCAACGCCCGGTAGAAAGGACACATTAAGTAACACACCAAGACTCAGAAAATACCGTTATTTAAAGTAAAACCAGCCCTAGTTATACTTAGAAGATACCAAACTAAAACCTGGTAAACTCCGGTTACATACAGACTAGATACTTGACAATGATATTGCGCACTACACCTATGTACAGTACATCTATTACTCGCGGCTTATACCCCGGCTTCTCCAACTTCTCCTACAAGTGGTTTAATAACCGTGTCGTTATAATCTCAGTTAGATTAGTTAAGTTTATAAGTTAACTAAATCTTATTTATCCTTAATCATTCATAATGAGCTTAATTTCGATCAGGATATTTTGAATGACCCCAAGGTCTCGTGGTCCCCAATGTTTCAGGTAGTAGAGATTAAATTACCTTGTTGGTGCGATCTAAACTGTTGACAGTAAGTTTAGGTTGGTTGTTGTGATTAGAGTTGCTGACTGGAGGTGGTTTGGGGGGCTGTTCAGCACTCTCCTCAGTCGCTGGTAGATCGTTTATACTGTTCTTACTTCCGGACTTAAAGAACCCTGTGGGAGGTAGGGACTGTGTTGGGGTACTCAGTTGGTTTGTTATTAGGGGTCGTTTATAAATTATGTAATCGCTGAGTGTTAGGGTATTCAGTTGGTTTGTTATTAGGGGTCGTTTATAAATTATGTAATCGCTGAGTGTTAGGGTATTCAGTTGGTTTGTTATTAGGGGTCGTTTATAAATTATGTTATCGCTGAGTGTTAGGGTATTCAGTTGGTTTGTTATTATGGGTCGTTTATAAATTATGTAATCGCTGAGTGTTGGGGTATTCAGTTGGTTTGTTATTAGGGGTCGTTTATAAATTATGTTATCGCTGAGTGTTAGGGTATTCAGTTGGTTTGTTATTAGGGGTCGTTTATAAATTATGTTATCGCTGAGTGTTAGGGTATTCAGTTGGTTTGTTATTATGGGTCGTTTATAAATTATGTTATCGCTGAGTGTTAGGGTATTCAGTTGGTTTGTTATTAGGGGTCGTTTATAAATTATGTTATCGCTGAGTGTTAGGGTATTCAGTTGGTTTGTTATTAGGGGTCGTTTATAAATTATGTTATCGCTGAGTGTTAGGGTATTCAGTTGGTTTGTTATTAGGGGTCATTTATAAATTATGTTATCGCTGAGTGTTAGGGTATTCAGTTGGTTTGTTATTAGGGGTCGTTTATAAATTATGTTATCGCTGAGTGTTAGGGTATTCAGTTGGTTTGTTATTAGGGGTCGTTTATAAATTATGTTATCGCTGAGTGTTGGGGTATTCAGTTGGTTTGTTATTAGGGGTCGTTTATAAATTATGTTATCGCTGAGTGTTAGGGTATTCAGTTGGTTTGTTATTATGGGTCGTTTATAAATTATGTTATCGCTGAGTGTTGGGGTATTCAGTTGGTTTGTTATTAGGGGTCGTTTATAAATTATGTTATCGCTGAGTGTTAGGGTATTCAGTTGGTTTGTTATTATGGGTCGTTTATAAATTATGTTATCGCTGAGTGTTGGGGTATTCAGTTGGTTTGTTATTAGGGGTCGTTCATAAATTATGTTATCGCTGAGTGTTAGGGTATTCAGTTGGTTTGTTATTATGGGTCGTTTATAAATTATGTTATCGCTGAGTGTTGGGGTATTCAGTTGGTTTGTTATTAGGGGTCGTTTATAAATTATGTTATCGCTGAGTGTTAGGGTATTCAGTTGGTTTGTTATTAGGGGTCGTTTATAAATTATGTAATCGCTGAGCGTTGGGGTATTCAGTTGGTTTGTTATTAGGGGTCGTTTATAAATCATGTAATCGCTGAGCGTTGGGGTATTCAGTTGGTTTGTTATTAGGGGTCGTTTATAAATTATGTTATCGCTGAGTGTTGGGGTATTCAGTTGGTTTGTTATTATGGGTCGTTTATAAATTATGTAATCGCTGAGTGTTGGGGTATTCAGTTGGTTTGTTATTAGGGGTCGTTTATAAATTATGTAATCGCTGAGTGTTGGGGTATTCAGTTGGTTTGTTATTAGGGGTCGTTTATAAATTATGTTATCGCTGAGTGTTAGGGTATTCAGTTGGTTTGTTATTATGGGTCGTTTATAAATTATGTTATCGCTGAGTGTTGGGGTATTCAGTTGGTTTGTTATTAGGGGTCGTTCATAAATTATGTTATCGCTGAGTGTTAGGGTATTCAGTTGGTTTGTTATTATGGGTCGTTTATAAATTATGTTATCGCTGAGTGTTGGGGTATTCAGTTGGTTTGTTATTAGGGGTCGTTTATAAATTATGTTATCGCTGAGTGTTAGGGTATTCAGTTGGTTTGTTATTATGGGTCGTTTATAAATTATGTTATCGCTGAGTGTTGGGGTATTCAGTTGGTTTGTTATTAGGGGTCGTTTATAAATTATGTTATCGCTGAGTGTTAGGGTATTCAGTTGGTTTGTTATTATGGGTCGTTTATAAATTATGTTATCGCTGAGTGTTGGGGTATTCAGTTGGTTTGTTATTAGGGGTCGTTCATAAATTATGTTATCGCTGAGTGTTAGGGTATTCAGTTGGTTTGTTATTATGGGTCGTTTATAAATTATGTTATCGCTGAGTGTTGGGGTATTCAGTTGGTTTGTTATTAGGGGTCGTTTATAAATTATGTTATCGCTGAGTGTTAGGGTATTCAGTTGGTTTGTTATTAGGGGTCGTTTATAAATTATGTAATCGCTGAGCGTTGGGGTATTCAGTTGGTTTGTTATTAGGGGTCGTTTATAAATCATGTAATCGCTGAGCGTTGGGGTATTCAGTTGGTTTGTTATTAGGGGTCGTTTATAAATTATGTTATCGCTGAGTGTTGAGGTATTCAGTTGGTTTGTTATTATGGGTCGTTTATAAATTATGTAATCGCTGAGTGTTGGGGTATTCAGTTGGTTTGTTATTAGGGGTCGTTTATAAATTATGTAATCGCTGAGTGTTGGGGTATTCAGTTGGTTTGTTATTAGGGGTCGTTTATAAATTATGTTATCGCTGAGTGTTGGGGTATTCAGTTGGTTTGTTATTATGGGTCGTTTATAAATTATGTAATCGCTGAGTGTTGGGGTATTCAGTTGGTTTGTTATTAGGGGTCGTTTATAAATTATGTAATCGCTGAGTGTTGGGGTATTCAGTTGGTTTGTTATTAGGGGTCGTTTATAAATCATGTAATCGCTGAGGGGGAGGAGGGGGTTTCTGAATATGATTACGCTAGTGTAATGTTTGCACAATATGTAAAACTGATTACGGAGGGGGGAGGATTGCAAATTGATCATCAACAAGTAATTGCGTAATATGTGAACGACCCTAATATAACAGCACAATAAAATTACTGAGTCAAGTAAAAATATGCTGTGATTAATTTTTGATTTATATGAAATTTAATCGTGATTTACAGAACCATTGAGAAATAACCAACCTAGGCCGGCGTTCTTGACACCCTCAAAAGCTTCAACTAGCGAACTGCGGCGTCGACCACTACGAGATCCTGACTCACTCTAAATATAATGTATCGTTAATATATTCAGTTATGCTACAAGTTAATAAAACCTGAGATTGAGTAGCATAAAAAGTTATATCTATATCGGAGTGACGTAGTTGAAAATTTTGAACAAACCAATATATGGATTTCTATTTTTAATCGCATAAAATTCTGATGAGAATAATTTCGAATCTACTGAAAGATTTTGCCGTTTGGTTAAAGCTCATGACATGGCAAGTCTGGCTCCAAAAGTTCAGGAAGCTGGTAAAACAAATTCCTGCCAGAACATACCAACATGCCAACATACCAACATGCCAACATACCAACATACCCACATACCAACATACTAACATACCAACATACCCACATACCAACATACCAACATACCAACATACCAACATGCCAACATACCAACATACCAACATACCAACATACCAACATACCAACATACCAACACACCAACATACCAACATACCAACATACCAACATACCAACATACCAACACACCAACATACCAACATACCAACATACCAACATACCAACATACCAATATACCAACATACCCACATACCAACATACCAACATACCAACACACCAACATACCAACATACCAACATACCAACATGCCAACATACCAACATACCAATTATCTAATAAACCTACCTGTTTGTCTAAGTCACTATCCATGCTGCCCTCAGGACTAAACAACTCTGGAGATGCGGGATAGTCTGCGTCTGATCTGTCAGCTAGAGCTGTAAAATTAGAGGTTACAAGGTTGCAGGTTTGTAAAATTATAGGTTACAAGGTTGCAGGTTTGTAAAATTAGAGGTTGCAAGGTTGCAGGTTTGTAAAATTACAGGTTACAAGGTTGCAGTTTTGTAAAGATATAGGTTACAAGGTTGCAGGTTTGTAAAATTACAGGTTACAAGGTTGCAGGTTTGTAAAATTACAGGTTACAAGGTTGCAGGTTTGTAAAATTATAGGTTACGAGGTTGCAGGTTTGTAATATTATAGGTTACAAGGTTGCAGGTTTGTAAAATTATAGGTTACAAAGTTGCAGGTTTGTTAAATTATAGGTTACAAGGTTGCAGGTTTGTAAAATTACAGGTTACAAGGTTGCAGGTTTGTAAAATTACAGGTTACAAGGTTGCAGGTTTGTAAAATTATAGGTTACGAGGTTGCAGGTTTGTAATATTATAGGTTACAAGGTTGCAGGTTTGTAAAATTATAGGTTACAAGGTTGCAGGTTTGTTAAATTATAGGTTACAAGGTTGCAGGTTTGTAAAATTACAGGTTACAAGGTTGCAGGTTTGTAAAATACAGGTCACAAGGTTGCAGGTTTGTAAAATTATAGGTTACGAGGTTGCAGGTTTGTAATATTATAGGTTACAAGGTTGCAGGTTTGTAAAATTATAGGTTACAAGGTTGCAGGTTTGTAAAATTACAGGTTATTAAGTTGCAGATTTGATTGTATCTTAGTTAGTTAGAAATAAGATATTCTTTGTAGAATAGCTCAAGGAAGTCTAAACGTGTGGTGAAACGTGATTGGAAAAAGAGGGGTTAAATATGGAATAAATAAATCTTTTCATAGACTCGACTACAACTGAGCCGAGGAAGCAAGCGACTTAGCTCGTATCAACGATAAGCCCCTGCTACGAACTAATTTAGGAACAGAACACAACCAGAATACAACCAGCTTGCAACTGAACTAAAGAATCCCATACGGTTTAAATAAGCTTGATATGTGGTAAAGTAGTATCAATTCCAAGTAGTTTCACTGCTCGGTATTTATTTCAGGCTGAGTAATGCAGTGAAATGTTAATCTAACTCAAAAATCAATTTAATGCCCTACCACTGTCGGTAGCTCAAATACTAGATCAGCTCCCAAAGAGAAATTTGACATTATTAAGAAAAATAAAACTTAATATTTCAGGAGCAGAACTCAATGTTGCAAATTGGGACAACTTTTAAAGTCCGAGGAGTGTTAAACGCGAGGGTATTAGACTAAACAAAAAAGAGTAATCAAAATACGCCGTTTAACAAACTCGTGAAAAATCAAATGTTACCCAGACCAGAAGTGACTGCAAATTGTAAAATAACAGACAATGCAAAAGATATATTTAGATATCATGTCCTGACTACACGGGAGTAGCACTGACTGGGAGCCGGTTCAAAACAATGTTTTGAGTAGAAGCTGTGACGTCACGATGCGCTTCCAATCATATTACGAGTATTAGCACGTGCTCCCAGCGCCGCTACCAAGAAACATGTTGAATTGGAGCACTTTAGCACGTGCTTCGTGTGGACAGAAAGGGAGGGAGCACGGATGACGGTCGAGACAACTCTCGTTACTACTTCAAACTTTATTAATGCTTATTATAAAACTAAGTATAGTTTTGAGCATTATATCTGACTGCCTCCATGACATCAGCTCTATAAACTTTAAAAGAACAAAACCAAAAAACATTTAGATGGTGCGTTCTGGCCATTTATCATCTAATAAAATATATAAACTAATGAAAGATATAACTCCGGCCAAGGGGTTCATGATTGGTTGACCATGATCACGTGACGATTTTCACTTCATTAAATGAATGGTGGAATGAAGCACCTCAGAGATTGCATCGAGACAGGTTCATTTCACATGAACGGTAGAGCTGGAGGGTTACTAATTGGAGGGAGGGGACACACCTGTTCTCATATTCAGAATATTACAGTTTGAGTTGTGCACAGGACAATAGGCTAATAGCTATGAGAAGACCTAAACTAAGGACTGACAAGACAAGGGACAATAGTGGGGTAACTGAGGGTACACTTCAAAATGAAACACAACTCGGTCCTCAATAATCAAGCTTACTGAGCTTGATTATTGAGGAGGAATAAAGCTCTGGCAGCTAAGTTTCCGGTAAGTTTGGTCGAGTGAAGGCACGCCCCAACCTGAAGTATCACACACACATGATAATGGTTTTAAGCTAATATGGGGCCTGAGCAGCAGCTGGCAGGGGTGCGACCTGTACAATTACTTGCTATATGTAGCACACTTTAGTAAAGCTTCACTACTCTTGGGGTATGATTAAAGAATCTTTTGTTAAAAATACAGTCGAAATATGCTGGATTCAGGTATAAGACTAAGGAGGTAAGTTCTTAAAATAGTGGTGTAACAAAACTACCCTGCCCCAAGGATCCGCCCGACACCGACATTTTCTCTCAAATGGTATACATAATGAGAGCAAAGACACTGTAATCTCAAGACAAACCAGCCGCCATCTGCACCTAATGATTCTGAAATTAAGTCACGTGGTCATGCCTCAACGAGATCATCACGTGACTTTTATTTTTGTGATAGGCAGCTAATGGTAATATGGTTCCCGTGATTGGCTGAAAATGCGCACGTGATTCTCTTAAAATTCGTTAATTGTTACAGGCAGGTAAACGTTCTTGAATCTCGAGTCGGTCAAACAAAATCGGTTTTTATCATGAAAGGGAATACCTTTTGGTGCCCATCCAGGGAAATGACCGAGCAACCTGTCACAATGGAAATACTTGGCACTCAGCCAGGAAATCATAATCAAGACTCACATAGTGGGGATCAAATAAGTTGTTATAACACACGCACAAAAAATGTTTTTACAGAAGTGGACCAGAGAAGAAGAAGAAGAAGAAGACGGCATATTTGCTACTTCTACCACCGCTACAGGCAAGCTGTCAAACAAGTACTGCGAGGTGAGCATGATCGGTGAAGTTTTGGCGCTGTCATTATAAAACTAATACGAACTCTAATAACAGTGTCTGGTGCATTAAATTTTAAATTGGACAGAAAAATAGGACAGGTAGTTTAATACTCCGAGGGATCATAATTGCGAATCATACAATATCGCACGAATAAAATCGTTAAAAATACCTGGATTTTATCATTGGTCTATTTTAATAGCTTTCAGTCGACGATCCTTTTAAGAAATTATCAAATCTGCTTTTAATGCACAACTGCTCAAAACGGCATGATATTATACAATTGATTCTAATATTGATATTCGATACCGAAAACAGATAAATATGATAATATTAGTATGCATTACATTTATCATATTATATATTTATCATATTATATTTATCTTAAACTGTTAAAGTCTTTAAGATTGTAACTTACCGAGGTTGGGCTCATTTGTATTCTGAAATAATAATTATCATTAGTATCCACAAAAATTTCAACAAAACCAGGAAACAATATAAAAACTATTTCTGTAAAGTAGCAAGTGTTTAGTGAGCTTAATGCCTGATGAAATGAGTAATTTCAAAAATTGTAGACTTTTCAATCATGAAGAGCTGTTGAAAGTATAAGGAATCCCAGAAGCAAAACATGGGAAACAGACAAGAAAATAAACACAAATTCCTATCTAGCGTATTTTAAGAAGTATGTAATTCTGTGGAAAGAACCCCGGCACCACAAATTGTAATTTGTATCGGTACTGACACTGGTAACCGTTGGTAACCGCTGGTAACAGACGCTGGTAACCGTTGGTAACCGCTGGTAACAGACGCTGGTAACAGACGCTGGTAACCGTTGGTAACCGCTGGTAACAGACGCTGGTAACAGACGCTGGTAACTGCTGGTAACAGACGCTGGTAACCGTTGGTAACCGTTGGTAACCGCTGGTAACAGACGCTGGTAACAGACGCTGGTAACTGCTGGTAACAGACGCTGGTAACCGTTGGTAACCGCTGGTAACAGACGCTGGTAACAGACGCTGGTAACAGACGCTGGTAACCGTTGGTAACCGCTGGTAACAGACGCTGGTAACAGACGCTGGCAACTGCTGGTAACCGTTGGTAACCGCTGGTAACAGACGCTGGTAACCGTTGGTAACAGACGCTGGTAACCGCTGGTAACAGACGCTGGTAACCGTTGGTAACAGACGCTGGTAACCGTTGGTAACCGCTGGTAACAGACGCTGGTAACCGCTGGTAACAGGCGCTGGTAACCGTTGGTAACCGACGCTGGTAACCGTTGGTAACAGCTGGTAACAGACGCTGGTAACCGTTGGTGACAGACGCTGGTGCCTGGTAACCGTTGGTAACAGACGCTGGTAACCGTTGGTAACAGCTGGTAACAGACGCTGGTAACCGTTGGTGACAGACGCTGGTGCCTGGTAACCGTTGGTAACAGACGCTGGTAACCGTTGGTAACAGCTGGTAACAGACGCTGGTAACCGCTGGTAACCGCTGGTAACCGCTGGTAACAGACGCTGGTAACCGTTGGCAACAGACGCTGGTAACCGTTTGTAACAGACGCTGGTAACCGCTGGTAACCGCTGGTAACATACGCTGGTAACCGTTGGTAACCGCTGGTAACAGATGCTGGTAACAGACGCTGGTAACTGCTGGTAACAGACGCTGGTAACCGTTGGTAACCGTTGGTAACCGCTGGTAACAGACGCTGGTAACAGACGCTGGTAACTGCTGGTAACAGACGCTGGTAACCGTTGGTAACCGCTGGTAACAGACGCTGGTAACAGACGCTGGTAACCGTTGGTAACCGCTGGTAACAGACGCTGGTAACAGACGCTGGCAACTGCTGGTAACCGTTGGTAACCGCTGGTAACAGACGCTGGTAACCGTTGGTAACAGACGCTGGTAACCGCTGGTAACAGACGCTGGTAACCGTTGGTAACAGACGCTGGTAACCGTTGGTAACCGCTGGTAACAGACGCTGGTAACCGCTGGTAACAGGCGCTGGTAACCGTTGGTAACCGACGCTGGTAACCGTTGGTAACAGCTGGTAACAGACGCTGGTAACCGTTGGTAACAGACGCTGGTAACCGTTGGTAACAGACGCTGGTAACCGTTGGTAACAGCTGGTAACAGACGCTGGTAACCGCTGGTAACCGCTGGTAACCGCTGGTAACAGACGCTGGTAACCGTTGGCAACAGACGCTGGTAACCGTTTGTAACAGACGCTGGTAACCGCTGGTAACCGCTGGTAACATACGCTGGTAACCGTTGGTAACAGGCGCTGGTAACCGCTGGTAACCGCTCAAAGTAAAATAAAACAAAGGAGGGGTGTGCCGTAATAGTAGAGAGTTTTGGAGGTTACAGTGCAATTAGATCTCATACTGTAGGAGCTGTATTTGTATATAATCAATATTAATCTAACATGTCGCCAATTAACTTGCAAGCAATATTACTTTGTTGACTGGAGCGGGGATTATTAGTTTATTAAAGCACCTCCAAGTAGTACAGCTGCACGTATTACTGTACGTGTTACTGTACTGTTACTGTACTGTTACTGTACGTGCCTTGGTGACACTACTTACTTACTTATGTTACTGACTACACAGTGCAAAAAAAATTGCGTTAGCATTGACACAGTTTTGCGGCTAAATTAAGATTTCATATACATGTGACTATATTTAAACGAGGCAGGCACCGCTGTCCAGTGTCCACTCCATTGCTAAATTCTGCATAAAATAATAATACCAAATTGGGCCACGCAAACTAAATTCTACAGAACCCAAACCCATTTCTCGATCTACTTACATTGTTGTTTGGATATTCGATGAGGGTTTCTGTAAAACCTTCCGACTTTTCGACCTCCTCTCTTTGTTCAAGTCCAGGTACGGTTCCTTTACCCTTTTCAACTGAAAATTGAAATTCAAGTTTTTGTTCTAAGCAATTGCTAGAAATCGTTACACAGGCTATGAATGTTTGGAAGTCAAACGTAGATTAATGGATATAATCCTTTTAAACTTAAAGCGTTATAAGTGTCTTAATTTTTAAGTTTCCGAGTAATATAAGAATACAAGACAATTTTTTAAATTATTAGAAAAACATTATAAGAAAATAAAAGAAAATACCAGTAATTTAAGAAAACTTACACAATTTGTTACGGTCGAATTTAATCTTTTTCCTGTGAACCGGATCAGCGAAAGGTATTGACCAGGAATCAGGAGGCCTGTAATAATTGATATTATTATTATAATATCATGTTATTAGTAGAGCCAGAGGAAATATATATTTTGGCGCGCATTTAATATATATCAGATTTAATGAGATTGCAATTTGTATCACTGTTGAAAGTGTGTGGCGGTTCCTCCGCCCTGCCGGATGCGCCAAGTGATAGCTTGTTATTATATGATTTACGTCCTTAGTTTTTGCTAGTTGGCCCCTTTTTATGATATTATTACCCCCTTTTGCACAGTTCTTCAGGAGTGTTTCCCTTCATGTTTTCTGTTCCTTAGACCAAACAGGGGCGTGAGCTGCCCGCCCTAGCTACGGTACGAGAAGCAGCGGCAGTGTGTGATCCGGTTATAAAGAGTGTTCTTGGAACAACAGCACTCTGCTTGGCTGCACTGTGACAGTGGGAGAACATTAGTTCATGTCACCTAACGCCCGCTTAACCTTGGCAGCCCCAAGGCATCTGGTTACTTACAGTTCAGTTACTTTATTTCACCAGGTCTACCTAAGGATCAATTATTCTTTGGTGGGGTTTCACTTCTGGTATTGGCTTCATTCCCGTTCCTTTTCCTTATTCTTTATACTTATTTTTTATATAGTTTAATGAGATAAATATATTTTTCACATTGAAAATTAGTGCGCCAAATATGAAGTAGTTGTGCGCGAACTTTTCATTGTAAAAAATCCATTGTGTGCGTGTTAGGTTGTGTTATAAGTTGTGTTATTAGGTTGTGAGTTGCCAAACTTACAAGAAGGCTTCAGCTACGGTTATCCACTGGATTTCTGAAGCGTTAAAGAGATACACAGCGTACCCATTCTTAGCCATCGTCAAACTCATAATTCCTCTGTAACGGAGAAACATGTGTGAGGGAATGTCTTTTAAGCTGTTAGGTATTCTTATCTTTATTGTAATATTAAAACTTCAAAACAGATAATTATAGTAACCACTCGTTAGTATTTTCGCGGAAAAATAGAAGCCTAAAGTTGATTAACATAAATCGTACTTAGCGTCATCGACCGTCATACATCTAGCGTTCTTAGCCATAACTTTGAGATGAGGTAAGCTGTATATGTTCAAATCTCCGGAAGTTTTCAAGCATACCAGAGCAGCTGCATTCCTGAAGGTCATCACGAAGGCCTTCCTGAACACTTCACCATCCTGTAGACGATCTTTTCTCACAGTTAAACTTGAGGGCAGCTCAATCACTTTTACCTGGAGTATACAATTATTATTTTACATTAGCCAGGCTTTAGAAATGTTTCGTCGTTGCTAAAGTTTAAACGGCAAACGAATAATGATGCGAATCGGCTGTTTCCGTAATTTAGACAAATCCAAAGAACTGCAACTCAATGGTCTCCAAATGACAACGTTACCTGGCAAGTTGAAACCACGACAAAGAAATGCGGTTGTTCTCTTGCTGCTTCTAGTGGTATCTGATTGTGTTCAGGCAGCATCTTACCCTCCTTGTCCACAAATCCCATGAAAATGATCGCATCCGTGTGATGAATCGACATCTGACCAACTGAGGAATCCTAATTATCTATCTTATTAGTTATTGGTTGTTTTTGAGAATATTTAATCATGTAAAGAATAAATGTTTAATGCAGCAAGAATGGATAATTCGCTTAGATTTGTTCCATTTGCAAAAAGAGATGTCTAAATGATAGTTTTCACAAAGCAGTGGCGAAATTGCGAAAAGCGTAGTCCAGTGATAAGCTGCTAATAGCATGAGGACTCCAGCCACGGAGAAAGTCTGGCGGTCTCATCATTTGTATACACGAAATCAAGAGTTTTTAACAGTTTGGATCAAATAGAACACTGTACGTGGTGTATCACAAGATAAGGGCACTAATTCAACAGTCGACCACGTGACCAGCCAGCCACGTGACACTTAATAATCAGGGTGTGAAATTATCATAACTATTTCAAAAGTACTGTAGATGGGGATAATCGAGTGGCTGAAGGATTGTTGATCGACTGTTAAAGTAGCGATGGCAAGATGTGTAGAACAACCCAATGGCCTGGGAAATTAACCTTGAAATTATATTTTTTCTTCCAAAACAATCATAACAAGCACAATTCTCTGGTTTAATTTGAAAAGACCAGCAAATTTCTCAACTGAAGGGCACAAAACCGAGCTTTACCAGAATCGATGTTTTTTGAGAAATGCAACCGCTTAGATACTGAAAGTGAAAGTGAAAGTGTTACCGAAAGTGATAGCGAAACGTTATCACTTTCGGTAACCTGGGGTTTAGATTTACAAACCACATGGTTCATATTGATTTTATGAATATATGGAGGAAGGACAATAATTGGGAAGTTCTACTGAGTAGCAGTGGGAAAGGAAGCAAGATCAGCCGCTTGTCATGGCAACTTACTTGGTGTCAAGGTAACGCCGTCGTGTCTGTTCCTCCCGACATCAAGTTTGTAACATTGCATCCTGCCACTTCCCAAGCCAGCCCACAGCGTTTTGATAGGTTGTTTAACTGGTATAATTTATCGGTTTAATTATTCAAATTTATTAGATTAATACAAAAATGTGTTCTATATGCGATTGGTAAATTTATTAACTACAAAGATATGATAATTTATGTCTTACAGCTAGGATCAGGCGGGAAAGTTTCAGCAAACACAAGTGATATGACTCTGGATTTCTTGTAGATTCCAGACTTGGTGTCATCAGCGTTTTCAACTGCCTGTACGTTGTCGTTCTGACCAAGATTCCGTCTTGATTGTCCTGTTTTGGAATTATTTTAAGTGATGTGATAAAAGTTACAGACAATAATTTCTACGCTTTTTGTAAAAGGAACTCTAACAAAGAGCTTCAAACCTAAGGGGATCTCAAAATATTCACTTAAAGGGTCAGGTAGCATACCGCATAAGATAGATTTTTACCTAATCTTGATTTTCTAGTACTATTGCCACCAAAGTTGCTCTTTGCAGACCCTCTCTGCGGTTGAACTGGAGGTGATTTTAAGGATTTCATGGATTGTCTGGAAGAAGCGTTGGTGCCCTTTTCCGACTTTGTCCGTCTCACACTACTTGAGGACCCTGCAGCAGATTATGTTAAAGATTTAAAAACAAAAACTGAGGTTGGGCACCATGTAAATCAAGCAGGTGAATGCACTGTAGATATGTAAAAAAACCAGTTGATTTGAAACATACCACCGCGTTTGGAAGATCGGCTCTGACGAACACTGAATGTTCTCCGGAGTTTTTCGCCTCTGGTCATGTTAGAGAAGGGCTGACTTTGTAGGGGATCTGATTTGTCTAGCGTACACGTGGCGAATATTATTTTGTGGGTAGTGATATCTACTATAGCTAGCCCGTATAGAGTACCTGAAGAGAACAACAAATAAATAGCAATTAAATAGCAATTAAATAAGTATGTCTAAATATTACGTAAACATGCATACAGACTTGTCAGTGGTTGTTTCACCAATTATAATGCCGTTTTCCTCAAAATACCATACAATTCATAGTATACGTTAACAAGATTATAGTCAAGGAACTTAAGAACATAAGTAGAGACATGTTCCATATATTAAACATTTTATTATACTTTTAAAATATTTACCGAGAGCTAATAAGCCAGCACTAGGATTGAGTGCCATGGTTAGGATGGGGGTGGGTGGGTAAACTTTTATACACAAGTCTGGTTGTAATCCTGCTTCGAAATGTATCACAGCTGAAATTATAGGTGTTGGTTTAGATGATACTATCATACCTTGGTCCTTGAGAATAAAATTGTAAATTGTCCGATGAAATGAATCAAAACCAAAACTTTTTTATAAATTATGAATATAAATGAACCTGAGTGAGTTTTGTCTTCAGTTGGTTTATTAGGTTCAGTAGACGGAGAAAGGTCGATATTACAGATGGGAGTTTCTAGCTTCCTTATGCCAGGGTTAAACTTAAACTTGTATATTTCTCCTTTCTTATTGGCCGCACATAAGATCCTGAACAAGATGGTTAGTTGAAATGCCAGACATGAATAAAAAACAAAATAATTCAGTTCCTCAGCTAATCCACGGTTCCATAAGCACTAGAGGTATTCGTTTGGTTCCAAAATGAGTTTAAAATTATTTTTCTGAACGAACCTATCGAATGGACAAAGTTCCATCTGACAGATGCTCAGATTAGGGTCGTTCAGATAAGGGTTATATCTCCCTACAGGTTTCATCTCTATTTCGTCCTCATAACCACCCATCATATCCTCAAGATTACTGATTTTGGGCTCCAATATTCTTTCTGTTTCTTGGCTGTACACCAACTTCATCATCGCTGTAAGAAGTTTGGTGTCAATAATGGTCGATGCATGATGAAGATAAACAATAAGTGATCGACTCTACGTTATATCGATCGATCATATCGAAATTAATTGCGCGCGTAAAACGCGCCATGATACTGAGCAATTGACTAACTTAGTTTCATCACTAAAATGTCACCGCGCGTTGCGTAAAAGTTTCTGTCTGATCGTGTATTTTAAGTTGCTAAATTTATGCAGCGGAAATAGTCCAAGTTTTTATGCCTAAAAGCTTAAATCTTGCATAGTTGGTTAGCATAGATAATGGGAAATGTGGTTGTTGTCATTCGTCATTAAAATACCCATTAACCTGCACAATATTCAATCCTAAACAATATAAAGGTTGAATAAATAACTCACAGGTAGAAACCGTCCAAATATTGATTACTCCATCTTCGTGACCACTGATAACTAAATCCGTCATTCTGGGCTCTCCATCGATGTCTAGCTGTCCTCCTTGTATTGGCCACGGCTGCGGTTAATGTAACTCTTGATTTCATTAATCAAATTGAAAAGCATATGTACTACAAAATATTTTGTCTCAAAGTTGTCCCATTTTACATTGTAAGTAACAAGTTTGGGGAAATCTAATCAGGGAAATAAGCCTAATTAATCACTTAATTAATTAGTCGGCCCTGAACAGTGTGGGAGTCTGAAGACTATGTATGACTCACACACTGCTTATTACGGTTAAATATACTCATATCTTTACATATTATAGCATACAGTATGGTTTGAGGTATCAAGTTACCGTTCAAATACAATCTAATGTTTGCAGCTTGATTCAGACAATACATGTAACATTACCCTGTTGCAACATTTCTTACTTCTTTAAATGATGTAATTAGGGTGAGGAAACCTTGTTATCTTAACTAGGTTACTTTTCTTACATATACAATTATTCCTCTCGTCGTCTTGAGCTCTCTCTAGCTCAACAAGTAGAGATTCCATATAATATTATAATTTTTTACATTTCCATAACTAACCATTGATTAATTATCATTATAACAATGGCCTGCTACAAAGCTTGGGAATACTCAGGCTTCTTTTTGAAATTATAGCAAGGTTTTGTAAGATGGAAACTCACACTTTTAGAATATTTGTCGAGGACAACTTTATCGTTATGCTGGGTCAGCAATTCCAGGAATGTGTTAGGACAGTTTGGGAGGTATTTGATGAATTGAACCGGAGAACTGTGTATGGGAGAGAGGTACGGCAATCTGAACTCCGGCAAGCTGAAATGTTTTTAAATTAGACACTAGACACATTTGGGTGAGAATCATTTTTAAAAATGGATTCATCGGTATTTCAAGCGAAAATTTAGTTCGGTCGCGCAATAATTTTTGCATTGTCTATACTACTGTTCATCTACGTCTATGCAATTATTTCAAACAATCAAAATTTTTCAAGTTCCAATTGGTTCCCATACCAAATATTTTCCGTTTGATTGTTCCAATAATTGCACCACAATAACCTCAAATATTTGTGTCATCTGTACAAGTGGCCAGATTTCTCTTTGAAAAGAGAAGACGCAACAATAATACTGTGCAACCGTACGATCATACAGTAGAGAATTATCAACAAGCACAGAAAATGTGGCAGTTTACACACGGATATTCATTTAGAAGAAATATTGTACGTTGTATTATGAGACGAATAGTTTGTATTGCAGAAAGCAGATCAATATAAGTGGTTACTGATTTAGTATTAGTGTGCGCTATTTTCATGTAGGCTCGTGTATCGTATGTAAGATGCATCGATAATCGGTTAGAGCAATCTTTAGAGTTATAGCTTACTCGGTAAGCTACAACTCTAAGCTGCCTTCTGCTTTACTGCAAATCAAAATAGTTTGTCAGTGGCAACACTAAAACTCAAGAATTTTAAACAGAGACAACAATTTCTGTTTTATTTTAAAACATATATCAACGACCACAGTTACACAATTAATTAATTAATTAACTGAATGTAAGTTGACTGACCTGGGATCCAGAAGGTCAATAGCGATGAGCTCCTCCTCTGTAAGTATTAACAAGGAAGTGGCGTGAGTTTCGTTCTTCTTCGAAGGCGGAGTCTCTATAACTTGGAAATCAATCACCTGACACAAGAGATGGTTATGCAAGAGAAACTTTAGTTGGGACAAATACATTTTAGGATCCGTGTATATGATTTGATGCCCATTGCCCACATACATGTATATGTAAAGAATGTTATTTTCTTATGAGTTTAGCGCGTGATGCTATTACAGTATGAAAATTAGCCTACAATGTGGGTGCTTCAAGCCTCAAGGAAGTTGCGATTGAACCAGAAACTTTGAAATACGCCCCTTATCACCAAGAAGTTTTAACCGTTAGTTTAAGTAATGACTGTTTGATACCTAAAATATGGAGTATTCCTTACAGAATTACATACAGGAAGTAGCAGTGTGTTGCAAAGAAGGTTTATAAGCAAGTATACTGCTTACTCTTACTCTTACTATTGTACCATTGGTAGACTCCTACCACAATAGACAGCCGTTTTACCAACGCCTAGTAACGTAACCTACATTGTAACAGCTACATTATAAAGGTAGTACAATGACTTACTACACCCTACATAGAAGTGGTGCACTAAGAACATTTCTTGTTGAGCATATAAGACAATGTAATGTGTGTTGTGTAAGGATGTAGCATGATGTTTTGGAATGTGTAAAATTTAAATTTTGAATTTCTAGCTAATAGTTTGTAATGTGGCTCATATGAAATGTAAGATAGCAAAATTTTAAATGTTCATAATTAAAGGTTTAACCAGTTAAATTTAGGTATGCTACTGATGATAACTTGTTTGAAGTAAACCACAACTCCGTGTTTACAAGCTCCAACCTATTCGGTCTGTTCTTGGGCCAAGAAAACTCAATTGTACAGAGAGATTAAATGAATTGTGAGGGTCAGGGGGCTCCAGAAGAGCACCACGTGATGCCCATATAAGGGAAGAGAAGAGCACATCTGGTGCACTATATATCGTGAAGGTGGCTAGCTCTGAGGGAACACGGCCAGTATTGTACAGACAATTAACATGGTACACTCGCGTGTCTTGGTTCACTGATCGTTAAATGAAATGATAGAGGATAATGGATATCTTATAACTTTATAACGACAGAAATATAGACCAGCCTAAAGTATATTTCCCCATATTTCTAACTGTCAAACCAACACAACATCCAAAATATAAGAAAACCCTTTCGCACACTATTCATTATATAATCTACATAATTAATTACCTTGTATATAATAATCTACATAATTAATTACCTTGGAATATATAATCTACATAATTAATTACCTTGGAAGGACACTCGAGAGTAGTAAGATCGTTCTCCCAGCGGTGTTGAGAAATAGTAACTGTGTTTTTGTCCAGGTAGTCTGTGGCAGGTAATCCACCACTGAATATAATTATAGGATGTGTCTCATTCACTCTCTTTACTTTCAAAACTTTACCAATGAAGTCACACCTGCCCAGATCTGAAATGGGGAGGATGTTTGTTTTATTTTGTACACTTGTTTGCTTTGATCTCTCGTAGATCTCTGATGTGTTTGTCAGTCAAGCTGATCGTAAATATTATCATTATTTTATTATCACAGCGTCCCTTCAAGGTGCATGTAACACAGTATACAGTACAATAGCTACACACATTAAACACTATCTACGCTAGATCCCTAGCACTAACACTTAACAGTTACATTCTGTGTATAAAACAATACAGCCTTCACACAAACCCTATGTAATGAAGGTGCGCAGCTTTCTAAAACATTATTCTGTAATATCATAAAGGTTTCAGTGAATGTTTATACTGAAGATTAGGTCCCAAGCAAGCCTAAACGCTCATTAGCGAGAGGACGCTGATGACATGGTCTAATAGCAGCATGTCATTAACTGCCGTTTACATCATGACTCATTAAAAACAATAACGCTATGTGATATAATGTCACGATACACAACACCATATACGGTATGATTGGACGAAGTAAGCTTCAATTTTCTTTGTATAATCGGAATGTGGGCGAAAGTGACTAGTGTCTGGGAGGGAGTTAACATGGTACACAGGACGAGTGTGTACAGGACGAGTGTGCTACAGGACGAGTGTGTACACTGTACACTCTGCAGATGGTATTACAAGAGCTGTGTGTTTGGATACATTGCATGGGGCAATACATTGAGCAATATCACGTGTATACCACGTGTATACCACGTGTATACCACGTGTACATGATATCGGCGTGGATAGGTAGAAGTTAAGTAGATTCGTCCGTCATTTGACCTTTTTGAGGCATGATCTGAAAAATGTAGCCAATTTCTTTGTCAGGGAAAAGTTCTCGGCTTTCGATGAATCTAGAAGTCTCTATGGTCAGCTTCAAAATTATGCGAATGTTTGAATTTCTGACTGAAGGATCAGCGAGATGTGACAAGTAAATCCAAAACACAAACAGTGGCAGGAACTAGAATACAGAACTAGAATACATGTGGTACTGTAAACGTCTAAGAAACAGGCGAAACTTCCTGTTTCGAGATTTTGATTTAGAATGGAAATACGGTACAGACCCGGTCTGCAAGCACATGTATACAAGATAAAAACAAACTACACAATATTATGTTGAAATCTGAAGGTAAATACCTTCGAAAGGAGTGCAGGACTTGAGGGGAGCATTTCCCTTTTTCTTCTTCTCGTGTTCCCATTCCGTCAAGCTGCCGTCAATGTGGGAAACTATGAACCTCTTAGTCGTCTCCTTGGTCTCTGTGTGCCAGTATACTGACTTTATAGCCTGTCGGACATTTCATTCAGAGGTACAAATTTAGAAAGTTTCTGAGTTGAGCAATATGTTTTCTTAATTTATCCTCAATATAACTTTGATGTTATTCTTTTAAAACAACTCATACATTTGGGTATCTATAATCTAACTAATACATTTGGGCATATAGAACAACTAATGCTTTTAAAATGTCACAGGGTACATTTTCTAACAACAACATCAACAAAAATGGACATACCAAATATTATCATCATAACCATGCAGTTATAAGTGCTGTGTAATTCTATATAATACAGGTGCAGTGTGCATTTGTAATATTAGTGTGTGTAGCTGACTTTGTCACACGTTCAAACTCAGCGGGTAACATGATCCACGAGAAACAGAGAGACACATTTCCAATCGTGCAGTATTTAAATCAGCACACTTAAACTGCACATCAGTGCAGTGTAGATATGTGTGTGGTTAACATGATGGATATCTGGCACACCGCCAAGTTTAAGTGTACTTGATCAGTGCAGGGACCGGGGGAGCCCAGGGGGGCTTGTACGATGACTTGACAACATTCAAACAGTCACTTTCAGTTTCAATCCCCCTCGCCCCCAACCCTTCACCTCCCTCAATTCCCTGGGACAAATTCCCAGAATCACAGGCGGGCGGCACTACAGTGGGTTACATTGAAGATAAGGTGACTGGCGAGGAACAGCTGGGCACTGCACACCAGAGCAAACACTTGTGAGGTATTTGTGAGATACCACCAAGGTCCCACCAGCATACCACCAGGGTTCATGTGGTGTTGAGATAAAGAACCGGCTGGTGGTAGTGCAACTAGGTTGATAATGTGGAAATACCACACTTACATTTAACACGTATTATTATCATGGGGTGTGTTATAGTTGGAGGATTAGCGTGGGTAAGCTAGGTTGGAGTGCCGTTACATTTCTACACATTATTCAGAATACAAATTAACTTTATCCCAGGGGATACTAAGGGGACTCTTGGGCTAGGGATTTGGTTTTTAAACCTTTCATATTGTCAAATGAAAAGGTTGTACAGATAAGTCTAAAAAATAACAAAATAATATAATATTACTAAATTACAACTAACAAGTGCAGGAATTACTTACAGTTCGGCTCTGGAACACTTTCTCTGTCTCTTTTTTATTCAGATTCCATATTATCATTAACCCTTTACTGAAAAATGACAATTACAGTCACACTGAAAATTTGTAACTTGAGACCTAGTCGAGATTTAATCATAATGTGAACTTTAATCTTCACCAGAACTGAAACTTCTGCAGATAGTAATCACATTATTTCCATCATTTTCCTAAGAATTCGATCAAAGCACAGCGCGCCAGTAAATCTTGGAGAGCTTCCAAAAATGTAAAATGTCTCCTCACAGACTACAACGTCTACCTCGAGGACGGAGGACCTGACCCACTACCAGGCAAATACCAGGCAAATACCAGGCAAATACCAGGCAAATACCAGGCAAATACCAGGCAAATACCAGGCAACTGGAATGTAGACCTGCTAAGTGTTGACACATCTCCACCGAGAAGATTTGAGGAGAAGGAGGAATGAGTCTAATGTAACGCCATTAAATAGGAGAGATACGTACTCACTATTCCCTAGAGACTCTAGCTACTCAACACCAACAATCAGTATATATATAGAGCTGGATACTGGTGGAGAGGTGAAGCTCATTTTGATGACACGTGATTGTGATATTAACCAGTCAGCATCCAGTGTTCACCGATAAAAACACAAGATCGCTGTCACGTGACAAAACAAATGTGGATCACCTCCTCACCACCATAGGAATTATTGTCATTAAAATCAGATAAATTGTGAGATATATCGTTCACGTAGTTAACACCTGTAGTAAACTAGCTTGTTTGACGTATAATGATCTACTAAATTCCTGTCCAATACTTGTTTCAAACTAATGGACGATTTGAAGCTATTGAATAGAGTATACTCGAATAGAATAGCTTAGAATTAATAGAATAAAGAATTAACACTGAATAAATAGTTGAACTATATAATTTAGTTAAACTATTTATTCAGTGTTAATTCTATATATAGTCAAAAGTAACGTTTTTTACAAATTAATTTTAATTTTGAATTATAATAAACCTGTAAGCGATGAGAAGTCTTGATGGTTCAGCAGGAGGTTCCACAATTCCTACAACCTCGCCAGGATGCGCTGTGTTGTTATCATTGTGAGCAGATTTCTTAGTGTTGAGCGGTTTAGCTGCGTTGGACCTGGGCAGGGTAAAGGTTGTTAATGTTTAGCTGCGTTGGACCTGGGTGGGGTAAAGGTTGTTAATGTTTAGCTGCGTTGGACCTGGGCGGGGTAAAGGTTGTTAATTTTTAGCTGCGTTGGACCTGGGCGGGGTAAAGGTTGTTAATGTTTAGTAGCGTTGGACCTGGGTGGGGTAAAGGTTGTTAATGGTTAGCTGCGTTGGACCTGGGCGGGGTAAAGGTTGTTAATGGTTAGCTGCGTTGGACCTGGGCGGGGTAAAGGTTGTTAATGTTTAGCTGCGTTGGACCTGGACGGGGTAAAGGTTGTTAATGTTCAGCTGCGTTGGACCTGGGCGGGGTAAAGGTTGTTAATGTTTAGCTGCGTTGGACCTGGGCGGGGTAAAGGTTGTTAATGTTTAGCTGCGTTGGACCTGGGCGGGGTAAAGGTTGTTAATGTTTAGCTGCGTTAGACCTGGACGGGGAAAAGGTTGTTAATGTTTAGCTGCGTTGGACCTGGGCGGGGTAAAGGTTGTTAATGTTTAGCTGCGTTGGACCTGGGCGGGGTAAAGGTTGTTAATGTTTAGCTGCGTTGGACCTGGACGGGGAAAAGGTTGTTAATGTTTAGCTGCGTTGGACCTGGGAGGGGTAATGGTTGTTAATGTTTAGCTGCGTTGGACCTGGGCGGGGTATAGGTTGTTAATGTTTAGCTGCGTTGGACCTGGGCGGGGTAAAGGTTGTTAATGGTTAGCTGCGTTGGACCTGGGCGGGGTAAAGGTTGTTAATGTTTAGCTGCGTTGGACCTAGGCGGAGTTAAGTTTGTTAATGTTTAGCTGCGTTGGACCTGGGAGGGGTAAAGGTTGTTCACTGTTAAGGTTGCGTAATCCAGTAATATATGATCAAAGTGAATAATTACTTAACATTTCTAGCGCGTAATCTTATTAAGTATTACGTCCCTCAGCATACTTTCAAATTGCACACCTTACACGATCTAATAACTAAATTTACAATACAGATCGAAATAGCGAATGCCAGCAAACTTTAAGGATCTGTTGTAAAACGTTAATGACTAATGTATAAACTGTGTGTAATGTTTGTGTGTAATGTTTGTGTGTAATGTTTGTGTGTAATGTTTGTGTGTAATGTTTGTGTGTAATGTTTGTGCGTAATGTTTGTGTGTAATGTTTGTGTGTAATGTTTGTGTGTAATGTTTGTGTGTAATGTTTGTGTGTAATGTTTGTGTGTAATGTTTGTGTGTAATGTTTGTGTGTAATGTTTGTGTGTAATGTTTGTGTGTAATGTTTATGTGTAATGTTTATGTGTAATGTTTATGTGTAATGTTTGTGTGTAATGTTTGTGTGTAATGTGTATGTGTAATGTTTATGTGTAATGTTTGTGTGTAATGTTTGTGTGTAATGTGTATGTGTAATGTTTATGTGTAATGTTTGTGTGTAATGTTTGTGTGTAATGTTTGTGTGTAATGTTTGTTTGTAACGTTTGTGTGTAATGTTTGTGTGTAATGTTTTTGTGTAATGTGTATGTTTGTTTTATCACGATTCAGAAGATTTTAGATGCGGGTAACATTCCATTGTGCTCAGTGTGCATTACATCACATCATGACATATCAATTCAAACTGTACACCCTCTCAAGATCTGAAGATCTAACTTGACAAAGAATGTCAAACTTGTGTAAAGAATGTCAAACTTGTGTAACAACATCACACTTTCCACTGCCTACACTCACAACGCCCCCACTTAACAGGGAGAATGATCTAGAATAATTAGATTTAGTGCAAGAAGGAAGCTGCCCCGCGTAGCTAGGTAGTAAAAACAGTGTTGGGGTGTGGAATGTGTGTTATGTAAACTGTGTGTACTATGTAACGGGTGCTTCTCGGCTATAGTGGTATTGAGTGTTTTTCATGCTTTTGTCTCTGTATGATAAAAACCGGATTATTTATTTAAAATTGGAGTCTAAATGATTCACATTCCATCTAATTATAAAGTTCTTAGTCTAACATTCCAGACACGATATTCTAGCAATGCACCTTTGACTGTGCACACATCAACGTTTAGTTAGCTGATTAGCTTTCTATTAAAATGTGATATGAAAACTCTTTTGAAAGAAAACTGTGTTTAGTATTAGAAAACAATTTAGCATCGTCTTCCTAGTGGCAAAACAGAAACCCGGTAATATACATACTTATTTAGCTCCTACTGTAATCAAATCAAGGACTTCTGAGCTTTTGGCTCCACTGTTGCTTACAATGTTCAATTGGAAGGCCGATTACTGTGAGACCTTTGAAGTCTATTATAAATTATTGAAAGACCCTTCCTTAAAACATAGTGATGATTTTTTATCTGATGATAGTGACACTTACAGTTTAGCAGCTCACCTAATAGACTCACATAACCTTTCCAATAGACCTGATTTTGATGCTTCTTATAATGTTTTTATCCTAAAGAATTCTAGTCCTAGTAATTTAGAAGTTAACGAACATCTACTTATACAAAAACTCAGAACTTTGAAACCATATGGTATTAATTCATGTGATCCTTTTGGTATGCCACTTTTATTTGAAAATAAAACTTTTGATAATGGTCCTTAAATTATTTCACCCTTAATGCAGGGACTAGTATATTTTTTCCGACTAGTTGGGGCCTCACAACCCCCCATACCCGAGTGCTTCCCATTCCATTTTTGAGAGTTTGGCTTAGTTCAAATTAAAATTTTCTGATATAATTGGAGTATTAACCCTTATCTTTATTAGGTACTGAAGATGTCCGAAAATGTTTTACCAATGATGTTATAAAGATTTTGTTGGAATTTTTAAACTCATTCGTTGTCTGACTGTGGGAACTATTGATTCTTGACCTTTGAAGTGTTCTCAAACCATAATTTAAAGAAGTATGAATATTAATAATGTGGACGATAGTGATACCCTTGATCCACAGTAAAGCATGTTGTATCTGTTACCAACATGAAAATTGAGAATTGGAAGCAGGTCACGAAACGTACTTCCTTAAATCGTCAGTGTAGGGTCATACATCCGGATCCCGACGGCACTGTCGCGGCACTATGGCGGCACTATGGCGGCATAGTGCCAACTTTCGATCATGTTCTTTCATGATTCAAGCTCGCAACCCCATCAAAAGCTCAACTAACAAACTAACAATTACATCTAGGAACTAAGCCTCAAATAAGTATGGTATGAAATTCTACAACACTATCAGACTACTCTATAGGCTCTTACCAATAGATGGTGTAGTTTGAAGATTTGCAGGTCTTAACGTTGACTGTGTAAATGTTTCCAAACGTAGTTCCCAAATAGATCCAGTCGGAATGTATTGGCATATGTCCAAAACAGATCTTCTCTTTTCTGGAATTTTATTGTTGTTAGGTCATACAATTATTTAGTTATATTATAAAATTATTTAGTTATATTATATAACATCACGCGATATTATAATTATTATAATATCGCGTGATGTTATGAAGTGTAAGGATATAATGCAATGTTTCATGCTGTGAACCTTACGTTACCTTTTGTGCTAATCTAATGCATGTGGAGAATGTGCTATCATTATGTTATTAATATTTAAATATTATGTAACCCATCACACGGTGAATAATGTATATTTTGAAAATGGGGATGAGTTTTTATCGTTTGGTATAATCATAAATCCCCCTGCCTGGGAAAGTAAACTCGCTGTAAGATCGAGTGTGTGTTCGCTAATTTACAGGATCAATTACCATAGCTCAGACATAGTTAGGACAATACATTATATAGATGTATATTTTACAAAGATGTGAACACGGAGCGAGGTTTTTATTGTAAAATATTTGCAGGTAAGTGATGTGAGGGTATCATCATATCATGTCGAGCAGTGCAGTGTGTAACAACCCTTAATTCAATAACACAGAACAAACTAGAATAAAGGCATTTTCAGTATCATGTTTCCAAAGTAATATATCGTTAGCCTGAGAGATTTAGCGCATTTCACTGAATTTACACAGAGTGGCATGCTAGGTCACTTATCTGGCAGGGTATTACACAGGACTTACCCGGCGTGGCAGGGTATTTTACAAGACTTCAACAAGAAGGGAAACACGTGACCGGTCTCGTCTACAAGGTTCCATAAGAATACCGTACTTATTGTTCCACAGACGGTCAACAACTGCTTCTAAAAGATGGAACATGAGTTAGTGTCAGCTGTGTTGTTCAGATAAATGCAGAACACTTGAGGAAGATTGATTAAAAACATTCCACAACATCAGTAACAGTGAAAGAATTTCTTCAGAATTTTCTTCACAAACCGTGTTGGGAAGGAATATAATCTGGGTGACAGCAACTTGTTGTTCGTGTGCGAACCTCTGCTCCACCCCAGGTCGCCCGTATAGTGTGATGAAACCATCTTTGGTTCCGATAGCAAGAAGTCTGGAAACTGGATCGAATGCAAAACAACTTGGCTGATTGGGGTATCCGTGTCGATACGCCTGAGGGGAGAGATTTGTTAGATAATTTACAATTTCTTGTGGAGTTTGAAAGATTTTCAATCACACAGTTATTATTTCTGTAACAAAAATCTGTCATTCTGATTTAGTTTATACTATAGTACTTACAGATGTTACTCCAAAATCATCTTCCACAAAACGCTCAACAACATCCGGCAAATTCCTTTTTCTGATAAACTTTGATGACAACCGCCGAATAAGTTGCGCCATTGTTCATATTCACATAAGTTCTCGACTATATCATCATGCTACAATAGATAGAATTGTAGATATTTAAAATTTGCGATATAGGAAACTTTGAATTAATACTTTAAAATCATTTGGTGTTCTTTTGGCTGTTCGGTCTGATCTCGATGCCACTACAACCCGACTACCAGTTAGCCTAGGTGCAGAAATGCTTGCCGTTAAAATTGCTTTTCCTAACAAAGAGAGTATTGTAATCTGTACTTGTTATAGAGTAGGAACTCTTGGGTTACCTAATCATGATGTCATAGTTAGCTATATTCGCAAGCTAGTTTCCAAAAAGAATCCCCCTAAAATCTATGTTATTGGTGATTTTAATCTCCCCCATACAGACTGGCTATCTTCATCCAGTACCGTACATATTGAGCAATCCTTCATAGATTCTTTCAGTGATCTTTCTCTCTCCCAGTTGATCACATCACCCACCCATAAAAGTGGTAATACATTAGACATTCTTCTCAGTAATTATGATAACACAATCGATAACTTGAATGTCTGTGATCCTCATTCCGTGTGCAAATCTGATCATTTTCCTGTCACTTTTTCAATTAAAAGCTCCTTTTCCCGCAAGAAAACTCCTAAACGTAAAATCTATAATTATAAGAAAGCAAACTGGGACATGATTAATCGTGAATTATGCTCAATTAATTGGCAAGTCCTAGAATGCCTAGATCCTGATTCGTCTTGGAAGTTAGTTAAAGACTGCATTATGAATTTAGTTGATATACATATTCCTAAAGTAACTATTAAATCAGAGTTTCAACCCCCGTGGTTCGATAGTGAACTTTTTTCTTCATGCCGTAAAAAAGATAGACTCAGAGCTAAATTTAAAATTTCTGGTTCTATTTCTGATGAGTTAAAGTTTGTTACTAGCCGTAAAGATTTTAAGAGGCTTTCATCAGCCAAAATAAGAGACAATCTTTTCAATAGTGATGATCCAGCGCTTATAACTAAGAAGTTTTGGTCACATGTTAAGTATAAATCTAACTCCTGCCGTATTCCTAATTGTGTTAGTTATTCTGGACAGCTTCGGTTCAAACCCAAAGCTCAAGCTGAACTTTTTAATTCTTTCTTTTATAACCAGTTTTCGGATCCTTCACTTTATGACACTGATATCTCCTATGTCAATAATGTTGATTTTGATATTGACTTCGATCATCGGGATGTTCGTAAGCTTCTTTCAAATATCCCTTACTTGGTCCCTTACTTTTTGTATTGTTTATCAATGACATTCCTCTTGGCCTTTCGGATAATACTGATATTGTTTTGTATGCCGATGCAATGATACAAAAATCTGGCGTAAAATACATTCATCTTCTGATAATACTAATTTACAAATGGATATAGACTATCTCTCTGACTGGGCACTAAGAAACAAAATGCGATTCCATCCAGCAAAATGTAAAGTGCTTATTGTTTCAGGAAAACCATCTTTATCTCCTCCATTCGCATATAATCTTGATGGCTCTCCTCTTGTGTATGTAGAGTTAGAAAAAGATCTTGGAGTTGATGTTACTCCTAAGCTAAGTTGGAATAGTCAGTGCGACAGAATTTATACTAAGGCCTGCCAACAACTTGGTATGGTCAGAAGAGATGGCCATATTGTCATTGATCAGAAACGTCGCCGGGCGCTTTACCTCTCCCTGGTTCGTAGCCAATTCGAAAATTGTTCCATAATCTGGCGCCCTTGTAATAAATCACTTAGTGATAAATTAGAAAGTCTCCAAAAGAGAGCTATTAAATGGATTCTGTCTGAAGAGGGCCGCAGTTATCCACCTGAGCAATATGTCAAAAAGTGCAAGCTTGTCGACATTCTCCCTTTGTCTCAAAAGTTTGACTTGAATGATCTTATTTTTTTCCACAAAGTTCTTAACAATTTAATTCCTGTATCGCTGCCTCACTATCTCTCTTTATATCAGGGCACTTCTCGACTAAGACGTTGCCACCTCGACAGTCTGTCTATTGTGTCATCAATTTTACCTAAGTTAAGTCAGAATTCACACACCACATGTACCTCAAATAGCCCACTGGCAAAATCATTTTTCTACAGAACCCATATACTGTGGAATGGATTCCCTTTACAGGTAAGACAGATTGTGTCTACTAGTCTTTTCAAAGCTGAGGTCACTAAGCATCTATGGAAATGTTTATCGGATAGTGAAACAACAGTCTAGCCTAGTCTCTTTGCTCCCCATATTATTATTATTTTTGTTTTATTAATTTTTGTATCTACCTTCCTATACTTTCAACATCATATCACACTTCACCCGCACACCTTCTCACACATTAATGACCATTTCAGACCTGTATCTAATGTATCTGGAATTTGACGTATTGAATCCAATTTTGACTCTATATCCACAGTTATTCACCATGGATTTGTTTGTTATTAAATAGTTTTTCATAAATTTTTGGATTTAGATTAATTCGATGTAATGGGTCCAAGTTACTGCGGACATAGTTCACTGTGTGTTTACCGTGTTTGGGTGCCCATCATATTTTACAGATGGGGGCGATATTTTGAACGATTCTATTTTATATTCATCTATTGCTGTACTCTGTAAAATTTGAAAAGTATTTAATAAAAAAATTTATTGTTTTTCTATAATAAGAGAATAAAAAGTTTGTAAATTAAAGAAGGAGTAAACCTAGTTGAAGCTGTTTGACTACACTCACCAGCCGCCACGTGATTTGGATAGTCACATCTAGCAATCGTTTAGACCACACACAACGCTAAAGAGTAAAGACGTATTGTCACCTATACTCTTCAAAAGAAGTCTAAACATGGCAATTAGTTTATCAAGATAATGGAGTCGACTAGACTAAGGAAATCTCGTTTTGTTAGTTAAGGAGTTAAGGGATTAAGGCAGCATAGTAATGACGTGCTTCACTAATAAATTTGTAGCGGTATTTTCTGTGATCTTAATCCTTCAAGGATTGGATGGAGCACCTCAGACAGGGCGTGTGAAATAGCAGGAAAACTTCTTTCTGGGGCTTTTGAACCGGTGAGTTACACCTGGTAAATTTTCACACAGAGCTAAAGGGGCATTGTGTTCCACAAAAGGTTGAAAAGATGCCGAAAGTTGACAATTAGTTTACCAAGATAATGGACAGGATTAGACAAAGCAACAAAAACGTATTTATTTGTTTGCTGAAGGATTGAAGTGAAATTTTACTGAAGAGCTGAACCGACTTGCACAAACATGTTTCTTGCAATTTGTTGTTTGATCTTATTCTGTCCAGGAGTGCTTCAAGCATCTCTCGAGAAAAGAAGTATCCACAAACGTGGTAGGTGAATTTCACTTCATTTTCTTAATCTAAACCAACAATTTAAGGGGGCAGGGGGGGTCTTTATGAAATTTCTCTCGAAATTGATTTTATAGTTGTTTCTGATAGAGGAGAGTGATATCTATCTGCTGCTTTTGGTCCCATGGAAAAATATTGTTCCTAGCCGAATTTATTGCCGGTCAAAGGTCAGCGTTCATGTGTAATTGTATTGCGCGAGCGATTTTCAATCGCGCGCCCTGAAAATTGAGTCTAAAATTCTATCTTCTCCTACATTTTTTGAGCAATCACCTTGAAACTTTCAGGATATGTTCTAAGGACCGTTTAGAAGATTCCATTCGATTAGAATTTTAAGATAGGCCTTAGAAAATTTTTTATTCGATTTTGAAAATCTTGGACCTGGAAAAATTGTCCAAAAACGAGGTCCAAGATTTTCAAAATCGAATAAAAATTTTTCTAAGGCCTATCTTAAAATTCTGATCGAATGGAATCTTCTAAATGGTCCTTAGAACATATCCTGAAAGTTTCAAGGTGATTGCTCAATAAATGTAGGAGAAGATAGAATTTTAGACTCAATTTTCAGGGCGCGCGATTGAAAATCGCTCGCGCAATACAATTACACATGAACGCTGACCTTTGACCGGCAATAAATTCGGCTAGGAACAATATTTTTCCATGGGACCAAAAGCAGCAGATAGGTATCACTCCCCTCTATCAGAAACAACTATAAAATCAATTTCGAGAGAAATTTCATAAAGACCCCCCCCCCCCCCCCTGCCCCCTTAAAGGAATACAGATCAAGTATGTGATATTTTAGAGATCAATTTAAAAATCTTATAAATTGCCAAGTAAACCAACAAGTGCAAGTGCCAATCAAAGCTATGGTCAAATTCATCTCACATTCACTCTTCAGATGCTGGATATTGCTCCGGCAATTTGTGCTACAAGATGGACACCGGCACTGTTCTTCCAATAGGAAGCTCCTTGTGGTCTGCTAATGGGAAATATGAACTGCAAATGCAACCTGATAAGAATTTGGTCCTGTACTGCTACGCTGGTAATGCTATTTGGCATGCCGATACATATGGTAAGTTGACAAGATAACTATCACGTTATCCTACTGTAATAGGGAAACCACTGATCCACAATTTTTTGGTCAAACTGGAAATACAGATCTTTACATTAACAACTCATAAATCATGCATTATTTGACCTGTACATACTAAGCATGATCTCCTTGAGAGCAATTTCAATTCCATGCCATTTGTTACTGTCAAAGCTAGAGTAAAAACAATTCATTAGGATTTTATTGTAAGGAAGCGTACTAAACACAAAAAATTTTGTTTTCCTAAGTAGAAAATTCAGGGCCTGTAGCTCAGAAATACAGTTATTCTAGGCTGGTAAATCAACATTTAATCAAGGTCTATGATTTAAATGAGTTATCATCACAGGAAATGATGTTGATGGAGGATTAAAATTTACCGAAGATGGCAGTTTGGAGATAACTGAAGTAGGCACTGGCAATTCACTCTGGAAAAATGGTGTCAGTGGGGGAGAGATGCTATTTTTGCAAAATGATGGGAATCTAGTAATGTACGACATTCAAGAGAGAAACATCTGGGAAACAGGAACAGGTCTTGCCTATTGTGAGAAAGGTAACTGCATACAATATTGGTTTCAGAATTCTAAGAGACATAGATTATTTGCAATGTCTTTATACGGTTTTACCAAGAGCTCAGGTTACTTATATTAGCTTTGTTAATAAAAATTCATTAAAATCGGGTGAAACACAAACGCAAAATGATATTTCAGGTTACTGCATTGGTGACAGGTGTGTTAAGCCAAGTTTACGTGATGGCTATGCACTTCTGAAATTGGGCGAAGAATTGATATCTAAGAATGGAAAGTATGATCTGCGGATGCAGACTGATGGAAACTTAGTAGTATACTGTAATGGAAATGCTCTTTGGCATTCAGAGACCTATGGAAGATCAGTGACAGGAGGTCTTAGATTTCAGGGAGACTCTAACCTTGTTATTTATGACCCAAATCCAATTTGGCACTCAAGTACGTACGACAATGGAGCAACGACACTTATCATGCAAGATGATGGCAACGTAGTTTTGTACACTAGAGATGGCAGATCAGTTTGGCACACCGGAACATTCGGCATGTGTTGATCCATACAAAATTTATTAAAAACATGGTTTAGTGAGTTTGGCCATCAGAGTCTATCAACTTGAAAGAGTGTTTCATTTGTAATGTTTTGATTCAAATTCGGCGACAACATGCTCAAATAATTGTCCAGAAAATGACATGTTCAGAAAATGACATATTGTAGTATAGAGTGAAATTTCAAAATATGAGCGACATATTCATAGTAAAGAGTGGCAGTATTGTAAATTACATATAGTCAGTGTGTAAAACGTATAAGAAGAAGTGCTTTCTCAGGGTCCTGACACATAAAAAAAAAGGAAAAGCACACTAAACCAATATCCAAGCATAACGGTATCCTAGCTACCCAAAATATCTATACATGTGCTCCAGTATCCCTACACAACGGCTACACATGTTCAACAAGGAAGCCCTTCATACTTATCGTTCAGCCTGACCCACCTGACAAGTCAATACAAGACCAACCAAAAATTTCAAAATGATAACACCAATCAAAGTTCACGAAGTTTAGAATGGGTGACTTTACCATGAGTGCGATGTGTTTGCTAGCCATTCCCTCCTAAAAAGGGGGGGGGGACGCTCAACCCATTGTTGTGACAGCAAGTAGACCAAAGTCGCTCTTGCTTGTAGAAGGTGCATAAACTAACCGCCAAAGTGGTGGGTGGGGGGTCCCCCGGGATCATTTCGTCCATGCCCTGCTTGATGCCCTGCTTAATTGGACCACAGAAGATTTTGACAGCAAAAATATTATCTTTCAAAGTCGTAACCTGCTGGTCCAACACATTTCAACTAAATTCCCCTCTTTGCTCTTATCTTTCAGTGTTTTCCAAACATTTTGCGGTGCAGTGAAAAAGTAAAACAAAATTTAAGTAAAACATTTTAATTTAATGTATGAAAGTAAAGCATACGTATGTGTATGCCCAATGTATAAATCACTCTACACTTGATCTTCGAGATTGTTTTAAAAGGGCCCCAACAGTTCACAGTTGAAATCAATTTAAATCGATTTAGTTTTGGTACCTCTGTAACCCCTGATAGAGATTATACAGGTTCTGAGTAAATTAAAACGCAGTCTGCGTCTGACAAATTGCAAATGATATCACATCACAATACCGTTGGCCTTTTTTAAGGCTGATCTTTTCAGCGAGATGTTTTAGGAACTGTAAAGCCTCAGTTGCCATTCCTCCTGTGATACTGAACACCAGTGGCGTGAAGGTAGGTCATTGTACTCACGTTAAAATATTAAAGTTAAAATATTCCCCCGGCGAGATATTGGCGAAAAAACTGTTTCGATCATATAATATTACCATATTTTGAGAGGTTGATTAAATCTTTCGTTAGGCCTAGGGTTAGGGCTAATTCACGGTGCCGATCATTCGCAGCTCGGCAAAGTGCATTTAGCCAAACTACCGAAAAGAATCTGCGAAATGAATTATTTGATGCGCGGCGCAGCCCAGTTGTGCACCGGATCGCGCTACAAGGGTTAATATATATAAGGTTTTAGTATATTAAATTATACTTAAATTAGCGCATGTGATGCGCTTGCATTGATACTAACTGAGCTCAGAGTTGTCATACGTTGTATGACCCGCCGCGCACGAAGTGCGCGGCTCCCCCTGTATCGTCAGGACGACCGTTAGGGGTCGCAACGTGATACAAGCTCAGAGCTAGTACACTGCACGCGCGCCGCCGCGAGAGGGATTTGGTTTGCAGTTGCAACCAATTTACAAACATGAATTAGCTCAGCTTGGTAAAATTTGAATTTGTTTATTTGGAGCAGCATCCAATTATAATTAATATGAATAACGTTTTTTCCTCGCTAAATCAGAAATGCACTAACTTTAGTTTTTTTCGTAACTTTAGCGGCGGTTTTTACAAAATCCAATGCGTCTACTGTCTAGTCTACCTTCATGCACCCGATTTAAACCAGTGGCAGTAGTCATGCTAGTCCTAGGAGCTGAGGAAGATCAGATCACAGTTTACATTTTAGTCCTATAATTGATTGACGGTATCAACCCATTGAGATCGTCGCTTTGCAAATAAAAGCAAAGCAACGATCAACGATGCGAAGCAAAAATGCTAGTTTGCCCGGCGCGGCGCGTAATCTGATAAAAGCAGCGAAGTCCTCCAAGTCCTATAAAGGACTAAAAAGTAAAATTGATTGACGTCCACCGTCCACCGTCCACCGTCCACCGTCCACCGTCCACCGTCCACCGTCCACCGTCCACCGTCCACCGTCCACCGTCCACCGTCCACCGTCCACCGTCCACCGTCCACCGTCCACCGTCCACCGTCCACCGTCCACCGTCCACCGTCCACCGTCCACCGTCCACCGTCCACCGTCCACCGTCCACCGTCCACCGTCCACCGTCCACCGTCCACCGTCCACCGTCCACCGTCCACCGTCCACCGTCCACCGTCCACACCGTCCACCGTCCACCGTCCACCGTCCACCGTCCACCGTCCACCGTCCACCGTCCACCGGACACTGTCCACCGTCCACCGTTTTTAAAATTTACTCACATTTTACAAGATTTTAAAAAATTGTTTTTTACCGTTTGCCGTTTCCTTGATCAAAATTTCAGAAAAACACCAAAAAATTGTTTAACTTTAAATTACACTGGTAATATACTAAAATATTATAATACATTTAGTATTGAATTTATGGAATCTGGAGTTGACTTAAGTTAGGGGTCGTTCACATATTATGTATTACGTAAAAATTTGGTGAACAATTTTTAATCCCCCGGCCCCTTCCGTAATATATATAAATATAATCGGTTTTAGTGTTTTACACATAGCTATTGTGTCAAAATTACACTAGCGTAATAATTTGGAAACACTCCTCCCCTCGGCTGATTACGTAATATGTGAAAGACTCCTTACCTTACCCGAAAAATCGGTTATTAACATTGTCCCTGAACTAGTTTAAACTAGGCGATAAATAAACGAAACTGAGAACTTTTGGACAATTTGTAATTTTAAACACTGACGAAGTACTGATAAGAAAATGATCAAATTTCACTTAGTCGTTTTCTTGGGAAGTAATGAACACGAATACTAAAAAAGAAGAGGGTAGGGCTAATTATATTTTACCAAATTACATGATAACCAAATTAATATGGGAGAATTATAAATTCGCTGTTACTGTAGCATTGTTTCCAAACTCCAACTCGTTCATCTCCACGGCTCGTTTTAAACCACCGGTTTCTAAAGTTAAACCAGCAGGAAATTATTCACACATATCATGAGTCCTAGAGTTTTATAGATTCCTAATTGCTGACTATGTAATCCTTAATTTATTCAGTCCCCGTTCTAGCCTGGTGTGCAGTGGAAAATTTGTAATTTTAAACACTGTAACGAAGTACTGATAAGAAAATGATCAAATTTAACTTAGTCGTTTTCTTGGGAAGTAATGAACACGAATACTGTCCACTGTCCACTGTCCACTGTCCACTGTCCACTGTCCACTGTCCACTGTCCACTGTCCACTGTCCACTGTCCACTGTCCACTGTCCACTGTCCACTGTCCACTGTCCACTGTCCACTGTCCACTGTCCACTGTCCACTGTCCACTGTCCACTGTCCACTGTCCACTGTCCACTGTCCACTGTCCACTGTCCACTGTCCACTGTCCACTGTCCACTGTCCACTGTCCACTGTCCACTGTCCACTGTCCACTGTCCACTGTCCACTGTCCACTGTCCACTGTCCACTGTCCACTGTCCACTGTCCACTGTCCACTGTCCACTGTCCACTGTCCACTGTCCACTGTCCACTGTCCACTGTCCACTGTCCACTGTCCACTGTCCACTGTCCACTGTCCACTGTCCACTGTCCACTTTAAAAAATGTATTTCCATTTCATCGACAGTAATCAATTTCTTTTAATTTGGTTTGTTCGGTTATTTTAAGTTTGTCTATTCAGTTTGTCTATGCTATTGTATTTGTATATGTTGCATTTTTCAAGTGTCGTGAGATAATTTCCATTTTTCATAGACCTTGCACATTGCATGCTCTTGTTTTAAAGTTATGTTTACCGAAGTTATAACAAGATCAATTTAAAATACGTCCAATTTTTAATTGCTGAACGTATTATGAAGTAATGGACTTGTGAAATAAGAATTTGGTTTTCATAGTTAATTAGATAATTAGATAATATTCGCTTTAGATTGAGTATATTAGCTTTCATCTAAGCTAACCCTATTCACCATCTAACAGGATAACTTGGAGTTCCAACAATGACTGAAAGAGACCTACCACTCGAAACTGTTGCCCCCCCTCAATCTAGAGGAATATGCTAGAACATTCGCCAGGTTGGTAACTCACACCACCGAATACGAAGTAATGGCTAGCATCTCCAGGAAGTTCATTTTGGAGAACAGCTTCGACAAGGAGGCGGTGCACATGTTGAGCATTGGTGCCGGCAGAGGGAATTTTGAGACAATGTTGGTCCGGGAACTGGGGCTGAAGTTGGGGTATATTTATGCTATCGAGCCGAATGCTGTCCATGTTCCGCTGTTGGAGACTGAACTGAAAAGTCTTGGTGCCAAGTACGATATCAACACATCATTCTTTAACAAGGAGTTTGAGTTCGATGAGAAAAATGAGACTCCTCTATTTGATATCATAATGCTAGCACACTGCTTGTACACATTCGAAGACCCATTTGGAGCAGTTTCTCACGCGGTAAAGTTTCTGAAACCTCATGGTAAAATTATCATATTCCATGAAGGAGAATCTGTATGCTCTGAGCTATACACATACATGATAAACCGAAGTGATCCGAACATATTTAACTCCAGTCTGACCCACGGAGACCACACTCTCACCGCAACGAAGATAGAGTCTTACATCCGAGATAAACATCCAGAATTGTTAGCGACTGTCACGTATGGTAGTTGTTATTATGACGTGGACGAGTTCGTTCGAGAGGAGGATGAGTCGAAGAGAAACGATGACCTCATCACCTTCCTCTTACAAGCCCAGTACCAGAAACTAAGCAAGGAGGCTAGAAGAGATGTTTACGAGATTGTGATGAGAAATAGTGATATTGTTGATGGGAAATATTTTGCGAGACACATGTGCGCAGGAATTATTGTTTCTCTGCCCAGTAAGGAATAGAGACACAAAACTTATCCGCAATATTTTGTTTTGGTTGTCAGTTTTATGTTTCACTATTCAACCAATAAATACTAAAATGATGATTGATGATCATTCCATAGTCATATTATTATTTCGTTTGTCCCAAAAATTGATTTGTAAAAAATTAAACGTACCCATGATACCGTAATATCAATATATTTTATTGAATATGTGATATGAATTGGATGTTTTGTCATTACCCTCGCTCTTTTTACTTATTTAGTATATTTAGTATGAATCGAGTGAAACGATTCTCTAAATAAAAGAACAAAATCATTGTACAAGTATTAGTAATATACGGATACCGTAATATACCACACAAGTTATAATAAAACCGTAAGGTGCATCTGCACTCTGCAGTTGCCGAATATATATTATTAGGACTTCCACGAAAATTTGAACAGACATTTAACATTTAAAAACGCTTGAGCCTCTAGTATCCAAGTGTAAAGGTCGCGAGCTTGCATGTGTATTTTAAAATGTCTACAGCTACACGTGATTAGAATTCACGTGAAACTTGTTAAGTAGAATATGGAGATTGGAGCTGTGCCAACTAATTTCTTTAAAGTAACCGATTCCATCTCCTAATTTTTGGGCCAAGAATTTGAATATCGGATACGGAGACAATAAAATTACTAATCTCCCTTTAGTTTTAGATCGTGAAATTCGAATAGTGTTAAATTCTTTGAGAGAACCTGTGTGATTCGAATGATTGATGAATGATTACGGCCAAAGTCCGATTCTAATAATAAAGATAAATCCTGATAACGGTAAATCTTATTAATGATAACGGAAGTTTAGCCTTAGGAGCTAGTTGTGCAATATTTGAAAGTTGATTGAAGATATTTTGACAATGATTTAAAAATTGATTGATAGCCGCATTCGCGAAGACAATGATATTGTATGAAAATCGAATTATTGCGGAGAACGGAATGCCCGAGGTAATTACCGGATAAACGATTAGTGACTACTAGTACTGAGGAAAGCGCGATAATTGAACGTGACTTTTAAAGCTGAATCCAGACAGTACTGCCTCGTATATTTTTGAAAGAGTTTTGTAATTTCCTAAAGTATAATAGCACGCAGCTAGCTCCCCAGTATTACTGTTAATAATCAACTTAATAACACCAGAATGTGTGTGTGTCTGTGTGTCTGTGTGTCTGTGTGTAATTTCCGAACGGTTATACAAAAAAAACGGTAATAGTTACGGGACTGGTTTTTTCGGTATAGTGCTGACAAAACTCTGACGAAGCCCATAAGCAAATTTTATAAAAATCGGCCGGTGGTAAGTGGTTTAATTGATGATTTTGTTCCAGAAATGTGACATAAATGGATGGGAGAGAGAACGAGGAGGATAACATGTACCGTAATTAGTTTATCCCCACGTAATACTATAAGCTTAGAGCTCACTCTTGCGGCCGTTTTGTTTCAACTGTAGGGAGATTTCATACTTTCATAAGACAGCGTTATGCGTGATATCAAATATATAATGCGGTTGTATACTTTTACATTGCAACTGTGACAGTAAAGTCCCGGCCGAAGGCACGGGTTACACTAGTACTATAATAATCTGATTTGGTTTCATAACGTAATTCGTGTTTCTTAGTCCTACATATTAGTCCTTGCCCAAAAAAACCCTCAAGCGCACAATTGGTGGAGAACCCGGGCAAGGGCCGTTAAAGAAAGTGATCCAGTGGAGAGAAACAGGGCCGACCCGTGGCTCGGGTTGAGCCTCAGGGACCTCCAGTGGTGAGTAGTAGGTTTACTGCAATGTTATTTTGTTGTGCTTTATAGATTGTTGATCGATTAGATTGTAGCAGTTTGAGGAGTTTCCATTGCATTATGTTGCAGGTATGGAGGGTAAATGAGGTCGAAAGGCTTCGCAGATTGGTCAGGGAGCTGGGGCAAAAAGTGAATTACCTGCGAATGCATCTAGTTTCCCAGAAATTGAAGTTCGCACAACGTGTTTCGGAGGGCGTGGTGCACCACGCAAAACTGATGTACGACAGTTTAGTAAGTGTCTTATTTTATGTTCAAAGTGATCCATAAGCATCTGTTATTGTGCAATGTGCGAACTTCGTTGCGGCTCTTTCATAGAGGCAGGTGTTTTGTGTTCATCTCCAGTTTGTGATGAAGTTGTATTTGAATACTCTTGTACACGTTTTATCTCAGGTGTTCTCCAGTGACTAACATGTCCGGATCATCCGACAAGGGGAAAGATAGAGTTTTTGTGTTTTGATACAGTGTTCCAAATCACGACATGCCGGGACCACCCGACAAGGGGAAGAGCAGGAAAAGGAGAAGAAGTTCCAACAGTGATATCGAGGTGATTGATGAGCGTGGCCGACCTGTGGCTCGTGTCGAGCCTCTGGAAACTTCCGAAGTGAGTAGTGTATCTACTGCAATGTATTTTTGTTAGTTTGAAGGGTTGCTGTTTGTTACCATGTAGTAGTTTGAGGACTATCTTTTGCATTTTTTTGCAGGTTGCCAGGGTAACTGAGGTCGCGAGACTTCAGAAGTTAGTGCAGAAACTGGAACAGGAGGTAAAATTCCTCAGAACGAATCTAGTCTCCCAGAAACTACAGTTTGCACGACGTATCTCGGAGTGCACCACACAAAACAGTTGTTCAGCAGCTTGGTAAGTGTCTCTTTCATCTTCATGCTCAAAGTGATCCATAAGCATCTGTTATTGTGCGAACTTCGTTGAATTGCGGCTCTTTCATAGACGCATCTGCTGGTGTTATGTGTTCATCTTCAGTTTGTGATGAAGTTGTCTTTGAATGTTGTTGTGCACGTCTCATCTTAGGTGTTCTCGGCCAGTGACTGTCCTCCGGGGGCTCAAGCAGCGCTGTAGTGTCGTTGTATCTAATAGCGGGACGGTCTCTTTCTCCTGTTTTAGTGTTTGCATAACAATGCGTACGAGCCTGTAATTAAGATAACTTACATCTTTTCAGGTCGAAGAAACCACGGGAGAGATCCAAATAGATAGTTCTAGTGAGTCAGACGCGACTCAGCTTCAGAGGGAGAACCAGGGCCGTCCGGTCAAAAAGATAGAGAGACAATTGTTATGAGACATTGACTGAGCATGTGTTTTTTTCGTGATTTTTTTATTTCTTTATTTTTTTTGTATTTCTTTTTCTTTTTAGTCCATTCCCCTTGTAGATCTATTTAGAATAAGCAATGTTTTTTCTTGTACGGATAGAATAGCCAGTAGTTGATGGTTCTGCATTCTTGGTGCTAACATTAGTGGTATCTTCTTCGTTGTAGCTGTTGTACTCAAGTTGTATAAGTGTTGCAGTACTGGAGAATGGAGATGGTAGTGCTAATGAGATTCTCTCCTCAGCTTTGATCCGCTTTATATACTGTTTGCCTCGATCATTATCTACGTTTCACTGAGCAACCTCTCTTCTTGGCTACGGTTGATCAGATTCCTGGATGCGATCCCTCGTGACGTGTTCTCATGCCCTTGTTATTACCCATTGCATCTCGGCGCAGTGTTATGAGATCTCACCGTAACAAGCTCATCATGCACTCGCTTAACCACCGTTGTGCAGACCGGATGCGATCTGATACGAACCAGAAAGTGGAACAAGAACTGTTCTTAGCAATCACAATGTATATGTTAAACTTTATCCAATTTAATTTTAATTAAAATCAATTTTGAAGTAACAAAGAGGAAAATAGAACTTTTTAAAGCTAATCGATTTTGTTATATTAGCAGTGTTAGGTCTATCTTATAGGTACAGTTTCTAGTGCTGCCGTACTGTCCAAAGTATTAAAGTGGGTGTCATGTGATCCGCCGTTCCGTCCAACCTTTTTGGAAAGTACCGCCGTACCGGCCTCCGCTGTACCGTCCTCCGCCGGACTGTACACCGCCGCAGTGACTTCCGCCACAGTAACCGGTTCCCGACAGGGGGATTATGATACAACTTGAAATAATATTTTTATCCAATTTTTATCCATTCGTGGCTAATTATCCAATTCTGGACTAGCGTTTCGGTGTGTGCAAAATTGCTTTCAGGCCTAATTTGGACCAAATATGGGCGTGGCCGCCCCGCGGTTGGGGTCCGAGACCCTCTCAAAAGTTGGGTCAACTGCTATGTCGAAACCAAGTTTGACAAAAAATTATTAATGTATTAAGAGGAAGTAAAAATATGACGGCGTGTTATAATCTCATAACTGTTAACTATAGATTATAATATGTGTAGTAGTAGTACTACCAACTGGTATCTCTACAAGTACATGCCAACCTGACAAAAAATGTTGGGTAAAATCTCCGGATCCCCCCGGCCAAGTGCACGATTTATTATCATTAGTTATCCAGTATCAATATCATAAGTTCTTAGTTTACAATTGTACGAGGGTAGTATAAATTATAATGTGCGTGATACTGATAGAAGTGTACGATCGAGGGTTGTATGTGCGTGATAGAGGTGTTTAGTCGTCTGCGCCACTATTGTCCGGTCGGTTCCATGATTCGTCAAAGGGTGTCTGCTAAACGAATGGATACAATGACCAACCTCACGACACAGTTCCATGTTGTCACAAAGGGTTAATTCAGTATCATTAATTGTTTATAGAACTGTTATACGCTGGGAAACTATCGTGATGTACTCAATCTTACACAGAGTTACAGAGCCGCTTATTTCAATTTTCAGGACATGCTTCCATGTTTTCCCTTATCGAGTTATGAAAGGTTGCAGAATGCAGAGTTGCTCTTCAAACGCTAAAAATAAGTTACACTGATCATGATGTATAGCACCAACATGGAGAGGAGACTTTTTATGACCTGTTGAAGAAAGAATTATTAGCCTACGATAACCATGAGCCGAGATGCACCTGAAATAAGATAGAAGTTACACAGAAAGGCATGTAAATTATGTATATTTAATTTTATAGCTCCCAACGTAATATCTAGCAACTCCCTATATTGTACCACAGTTGATATATCAACATGTCATATCAACACAACATGACACGGTCCTAAAAAATGGATCGGGTAGGTATGAAAATTGAAATGCATATCATGCATATTCCAGTTGGACAAGCACCAAGCAGCAAGCTTTTTACCTGTATTTTTATATGCGCGGATCAGAGCAGGAGACTAAATTAAAGTGACGTCACAGCCCAAAATTGATATCAACCAATAGGAGCGCGGCGTGGTATAGTATTGTGGTATAGTATTGTGGTTACACAGTGATCCGGTGTATTTTTTGATTCTACACACTTTCGCAGGACTTAAACACTAATATTAAGAAGTAAATTCTAAGCTCCCCTCATCCTTTAATTCTGAAATTTTGCTTCCTTTTTGAAAGATTCGTCAGTCCAGCAACCCAAATGGCACCTTTTGGAACCCATTTCCAGACCTTCCATCAATAGGATAAAGGATTACAAAAAAAAACATATTTATTGTAATCCACTCTCAAGACGTACTGAAAACGTGAAAAACAAAAGTAAGTTTAGCACTAAATTTTAAATGAAATGGTTTTGTGTGGAGCTAAATGATGATTTCCACGACTTATTTATAATGGGAGATGTCATAAAATGCTTCAACATTCGTTAAGAGTGGCAAACTGGAGTGTACAAATAGATATTGCAATTTTTTTCTATTTGAGTTTGAATACCGCATCGGTGTTAGTTTGATCTAATCTTTATCCGATATTTAATATATTTTTTTAAATCTGAATTTTGAATGGCATAATGAAAACTTGAAAAGTCAAACGATTTGATTAGTCACATAATAGTAAATTCAAATTTATTACAAGCAAAATTATAGAACTTCTTGTCAGCCACACATTATGTTCCAGCAATTTTATTGTTAACCTCGAATTCCGATCAGATACATAGTATATTTAACTTTTGATACTTCTCCGTAAATTTAAAAGGTCTCATGCTGCATGCATATCTTAAGGGGTCGTTCAAATATTACGTAATATCTATATCTGAACAGCAAGTTTCTCTGGAGCAGGTTTCTTTGCAGTTTTTTTAGAAGCTTTCTTTGCAGCGGCTTTTTTAGCTGGTTTCTTTGCAGCAGCTACCTTTGCAACAACTTTAGCTCGTTTCTCTACCTCAATTTCGTTTGCAGCAGGTACAGGTTGCATTGCTTCTTCTGTAAGACCAAGAGACTTCGACTGGACTGCTATCAGAAGGCAGACAAGAACTGCGATGAAACACTTCATGTTAATTCGCTGTGTGAAATAATTTGGGTAAATTTAGGGTAACGGTTAACAAGTTTCATAACAACTGTTAGAGTAATGCCTAACTGAATTATGTAAATTAATGAAATTAGTAGTTAGTCCAGCAACCCGGACTCTTAGGACGGCACCTTCTTGAACCCATCGCCAGACCTTCCATCAATAGGATTACAACAAAAACATACTCATTGTAAATGTAATCCACTCTCAAGAGTCAAGACGTACTGAAAACGTGAAAAAACGAAAATAAGTTTAGCACTAAATTTTAAATGAAATGGTTTAAGTATAACTGTGGTCAGTTTACTACCTCCCTCATCAGATAAACATTTCACGTGTGGTAGTGCCATTGTTTCATATTCTAGCTCAAACTTGGCTCTCCTTCAAAGTTTTATCGGTGTTGGACGTTGGTTTTGTACCGGTAAACTCTTAATTGTTCATGAGCTTTACGTCTTTCTGTTTTCGGAGTTACTCGAGACTTCTCCTCATCGCATCATCAACAATCTAATAACCACTAACAAACTTACTGCTATACATATTTGCTGCTTACTACTAAGGCGAGGTTTGTTGACTACCACCACTATTGTGTGCTAACTAATTATATCCATTCCATCGGTGTCGATTTGATGAGGAACAGTTTACACCAGGTTCAATAGTTTTATGTACAGCGATTCACTATTTAACCAGACCGCGCTTAAAATAATGCTTATCGCTACTAAAAAGAAAGTAAATTTACGAACAGAGATATATTATATAGTTTCTATAGTTTTGCACAAGCCTTTAACATTGCATATGTAGTTACCTATTTGTTCATTTAATGCAAATTCTTAAACTTATGTCATGCAATAGTGTTTGCACAGTTTGGTAAGTGTCTATTTCATGCTCAAAGTGATCCATAAGCATCTGTTATTGTGCGAACTTCGTTGAATTGCGGCTCTTTCATAGTATAGAGGCATCTGCTGGTGTTATGTGTTCATCTTCAGTTTGTGATGAAGTTGCCTTTTTTTTTTTCTTTTTTTTTTGATACGGCACCCACTGACTACCGTCACAAGGTATGAGGTAGCGACCCTCCATACGGAGTATCCTACTGGGGTCCACCTGGTTAGCATTTGTGCCCCATTCCCCTGGGCTTCCAGATGATAATGTCTTGATAGACAACAGCCGAGTCGGGGTTGCCGCTCCTTTGATCACTATCAGAAGATAGCAATCAGGCGAGCGACTAACATAGTCCCTAAGGATGATTGGATTAAAATTGTCCGGTCTCTCACCACCATTTAGGAGGATGCTGACGCCCCAGGTGAGAAAATGCTGACTCTAGGTGTGTGTTACGTTGGGTGATGTGCAGGCGGTTTGTGGTTGGGCTGTGATGTTCCATTTTATACATCAAGATTGAGGTTACTCGGCTAGGGATCTCAGCAGAGCGATTTCTGTTCTGAGAGAACTTGAT